GATGCCTCAAGGGAGATTTTACAATTATCCACCGATTTTTGGACCCACTCCAAGGTTTTTCACACCGTTGTGTGTTTCTTCTAACACGGTATTCGATCCTGTGAGTGGAGAGACTTTTGCTTATCAGCGGCAATTTGTCCCTTTACTCAAAGAAACCGAAGAGCAATAAGACGCCGACAATCTTAGACGTTCTGTCGGACTCATTTGTCAAGCGAAGTTCTTGTTGGAGTTTGCCATTTATTCTCACGGTATTACTTTTGTAGGTTGTGGGTTTAAAATAAAAGAACATCCATGGAAAGCGACTTAAAAAATGTGACAATCAGTGCTTAGCTGTATTACTGCTGACTATAATAAAACCCAATTTATAAAGAACTAACGTAGTCATCAAAAACGTATAGGGAAAAATTCAGGCATTTCTATGAGAACCTGTTGAGCCTTGAGCGTTTTTAGTCTATTTGTAACAGTTTTATGAGCATAAAGAATTTGAAATAGTTTGGGGATTTAGAGAAGCGTGAATTTCTAATTGTTTTTCAGTTCGTACGTACACAAGGAAGGCACTGTACCCTCACAGCTTCAATTGAATAGCGGTAAGCATCCTTTCCATGAAATTAACAGAACTTTTTCAAAAAACCAAATGCCCTAAGTTCTCAGTGTAAACCACATAATATGTAAGAAGCTTTTAAGCTTTTTATACTATGAACATAATAATGATTAGTTTTTTTAGGTTGGGTTTTACTGAAATCAAGTAAAGAATCAAGTGAATAGCTATCTTGTCTGAAAATGGTGTTTACTTCATCGTGATCAGAAGCATATAACTCTAAACTTTAGAGTTATGCTTCTTTAGGCATTCATAAGTGTTCCTAACTATAAAAGTTCGTCACCTCTCTTGTTTTATATTTGGCTGTACGTTTGCTTCAAACTCTTACCATGCAGTTTAATAGTGCTGTTTAAATATACTAAAAAAAAATTTCTACAAAAACCTTGCTCTGAAAAATACAAATATCGGCAGAAATACGATGACATTTAATTCCAACAGTTTTTTCATGAGTGTAAAACGTGATCTGCTCAGATCGTGGTCTAGCCTGATCGCAGCAACACTTGCCTGTTATACAAACTTGTCAGTTGTAAAATAGTCTGTGTCCTCAGAAAAGGAAATACCCGACTGACGATTTCCTGCGGCGGGCTTATGTGTCAGAGCGATTCAGAAGGCTAGACAGTTGGCTAGACATAATTTAAAAAAAATTATTACAAATATTGTCTTTCTCAACTGCCCAGGCATTATGAAATACATATGATAACAAACACCACTATTCTTAAATCTGAGGTAAAATATATACAAAACATACAAATATTATAAGCTTATTTGTTTTCTAATTCGCTCGTGATATATTTTTCTAACAAACCCCAAAATCTTCACGAGAATCAGATTAAATTGTACAAGACTAACAGCTACCCGACTAAGTCCTCCCTGAATTTGACCCGGGTTTAACTGCTTTTCCCAGTCATATCAGACAGTCAACCTCTATGGTCTCCGAGTGGAAGGTGTTTAAAAGCTTGCTATGTGGGCCGTATCATGAAATGTGTCCTTCTTCATCTTTTCGTCGCTTCGTTTTACGACGTACACTTTTCTCTTTGCTACAAGAAACGCTTGGTGGTTTGGGAACAAGTCCAGTAATTGCTTGAGCGTTCTCGGGTGAACTGTTTTTCGGTGAGTTCTTCTCTAAAGGGGAATTCTTTTCTCTTGAACAAGTGATATTCCCGTTGCGGGTCTTCGCTGGAGGGAGTTTAATTGCGGGTGAACTTGTCTGTGCATTCGGGCTTCGTTTTAGGCCACAGTCGCAAACAATGCTTGAAAAAGAGCCAGAATTCGTCTTCGAATTACCATCGATCTTGGGAAGGAACGAAGCTCGTCTTGTTGTCTTTAATTCTTCATTAGAGAGCTTTACAGAAGGCCTTTTATCGACCACAGGAAAGTTACTCAATGTAACGTCACCTTTTGACGGTCTGTAAACTTCGGAGAGATTTGACGGCTTCGCCTCTAGTTTGGAGATGCCAGGAGAGCGGTTCGAAGGCCACGATGCAGAAGGCATCGCTCTCGCATAAGACGTATAACTTTGACTACCATTCATAAATTTGTTTGGCACAAAGACAGGTCCAAGCACTTGTTCGCTTGCTCTGTCAGTTTCTCCTTCACTGTAAGGAGTAGGCGGTCTGTCCACCTTTGAAACCTTTCGTAAAGCCAAAATGGCTGGATCGAGACCCGGCCTGTTAAGATTAATCGCTTCAAGACTACCTCTTTGAGTTTTTGGAACCTGGTTTTCCCGCAATGTTTTGTTTGGTGAGTGTTTTTTCTTCATCCTGAAAGCTTTTTAGCGAAGAGTATATTTTCAGCGCGAACCCAACGTCATAATGCGCGCGCTTATCGCTAATTGGCTCAAATTAAACAACCAATCAGAACGCTACTTGCCATGAAAGAACCCCTTCTAATGACCAAATGGAAATAAAGTTGAAAGTGTTTTGAAATGGATTAGTTATGTCACAAATTATATTTTTTCCTCCTATATAAATAAAAAAATAGATAGGAAATCACAGTAAGGAGTGCAGGATCTTGCGTAGAACTGGTTCTCTAAAAATCTCTAAGAGAAAAGAAAGTTAAAATGAGAGAAAATGAGACTAAAAGGAAATAAAACAGTTGGTAAAATTTAATATCATGCATGTGTTCGATATGTAAGTTTAAAGATCAAACCCGCGGGGGAAGAGTTTGTTATCAGGCCAATCTATATATTACTCATTTTTTGGTCTATACCTAGACTTGCCTACAAGTCGAGCACAAATTTTTTCACGAAGGCGAAGTGCCAACGGTAGATTTTTTTATGTTTTCCGCGGCAAAAGCGAGCGAGAGAGCAGGGGCACCCAACAAGGATATAGTTCAAAACCACTTAACATAGTATTGTTGAACGTATTTTAGTATTCAAACGGTAGATATAGGCATATTTTTATCCCCTAAAAACTTTTCATCTGTTCGCATTTCCTAGCTGAAAGTTTAATGATCCGAAAATTATAAGGATAAAAACTTACCTTCTCGAAAATTTCAGCCAGGAAAAGGCTTCCGAAAATTCTAGGTGGCCTTTTTTAGGGTCAAAATCCGTTAAAAATGGGTAATTATACCATTTTGTAGATGTTCGAAAATCCTAGGAGAGGCAGGCAAGCATGAAATTTTACAACAAATGCTCCGAAAATTCTAGATCTCAAATCGTCTTCCGAACAGATATTTTCCCGAAAATTGCCGTTGGGTGCCCCCGAGAGAGCGACAGCTTCGCGCTGCTGCCAACTACCGGAACCGGAAATGAGAAGCGAAGGACTTTGAGAAAGTCTAGTCTATACCGTGAGGATCAGTTAGCCTGTTTACATTGTCGCTTTATTCCAGTTGTTCCAGTTGTCCCGGTCGTCCCAGCCGTCCTCGTTGCCCCAGTCGGCCCTTTCGTCCCAGTTATCCCGGTCGTCCCAACCGTCCAGGCCCCACCAGTTGTTCAAAAGTTGGATAGTTCTATTTACGGATAGGGAAACCAATTGCGCTATCCAGTGGATAGTGATTTTTTTGTGAATATTATATTATTTACCTTTTGAAAAACTGGGGCCTGGTTGTCCCAGTCGTCCCGGTCGTGGGTGGTTGTCCTAGTCATCAGGACAGTCCTCAGGGACCAGTCATAATTTAAGTTGGAGGAGGGGGTGGAGGAGAAATTGTTTTTTATACCAAATTATTTCCAGACCCCTACTAAAAGCACCCATGTTTTTTAGGTACCCCCCCTTCAATCATGTTAAAAGATTTAAGGGCCCCCCTTTCTTACATAATACCCAAATGGTAATAACAAATAACATTTTCTTTACTTTACCGTTCTTACTCACTGTCACTTCCGAATGTGCCAACTAACAACAGAGAAGCACTTCACACTAAACTGAGAAAGAGATTTCACTAGGAGCCTCTCAAACAGCTTATAGAGCAAGGATATATCAGTGATTGTGTTATAATTGAGATAAGACAAGCCATCGAAAGGTTAGAGGCCGACAGGACCGCTTCAAGGAAGAAAGAAGATAATCAGCCAAAGCTTACTGCTTTTTATATGAGCAGTACATGCTCTAATAGCAAAAAACTTGACAGTGACACAGACAGTGAGTCCACATCAACCTCATCTACAAATAATGATTCGGAAAGTGAGATTGCATAACATGACTTTATGCATGTAATCATTTGTTTAAATGCCGATGAAATTGTTTCAGTGTTACACAATAATGGATGTTGTGTTGATGCACCTACTATTTGAGCATTAGATCTTTTTGTCAAAATTCTGATTAAATTGTTTTAGTATTATAAATATGGGACTTTGTGTAAAACTGAATCAAAATCAGGTCCCTTACTCAAGCATCATGCTGCTCAGAAGGGATGCTACTTAAAAGAAACTTGAAGACCCCCCCAAGGTCATCTTTTGGCATTTTAAGGCCCCCCATATTCCATCCAAAAAAAAATTGAAGGCCCCCCAATTTCTCCCTCAGTAGTCATCCCAGGCATCCCGGTCATCTTGGTCATCCCAGTCAATCTTGTCGTCACAGTTGTCCCGGTCGTCCTAGTCATCCCAGTCCGCCCCTGGGTACTTTTTTTTTAGGATCCTTTTGCAACGACAAAGGGGAGGTCAAAAAAGCAATAGGTTTAATAATGCTAACAACAATTTTGCACGTGTAGTGCGTTTTTTGTACATATCCTTGCCTTCACCTCGGATATTGCTGGTAGGAATTCATCTCCAGGAGAGCTCGCCTACAATTTTCACAGTAATTGATTTCGAATAACTGCGAGGAAGATTGAAAGAACGTGAATTCACGTTTCGCTGCGGTCGACGTCTTGCGAAATAAAGCTTTTTTATCCGCCCGTGGACCGCCCGCGTGGAAACGTGGGCGTCGACGCGTAGAGTGTTCGAGAATGTTGGGGACTGGAAACTATAGTGCTTCAGTTTGAGAAACAAAGATGGCGGAAGAGGCGAAAACACTACAATGCATTTCCGGATAACATGCTTCATGGATGGTGTGAGTCTTTTGAGAATCAACTCAAATCTTGAGATATGAAGCAGGCAGTCGAATTTGAGGAGTGTCTTAAGGATTCTCCCCGTTTTAGGTAAGAAATGCGTTGTCATGTTGGGATTGTGTGACCCGACTGAGAGATTTCTAGTATGGGAGCGAGGAGTTCGTAGCCAAGGTTTTAACTTTAAAAAATTTTTCTACCTTGTTTTAACGCGGTATAGCGTCGGTCAGTGAAATAATTGTTTCTATTAGTTAACCTGTAGACTAACTCCAGGGTGTGAAATTTGAAGAAAACGAAAGCCCGAAATCTGATACCACGAAAATGTCATTTACTCGAACATTTGTAAATTTTCTTGATTATTCTCAAAGTTGGTGTTCAAAGGCCTCTTTCATTGAATGCTAAATTATTTTGTGATATATTTAACTTCTATTGAAGTGCTTATTTTATTATTTTCTCATACAAACAAGAGTACAAGCATGTTTGGTCGAAAAGTTGCAGAGATTTGAAAGCACGTAGATGTAGCATTCAAATTTTGCGCACCCAGAGCAAAGGTTGAAAATTTTAAAGCTTACTTCTAAAAGCCAAATCTGATCACTTGCTTAGCGCGTCGGGCTTGGATTAAATAGATTTAAAAGTCATACGATTTTGCAAATAAAACACCTCAAACAGTGTTACGCTGTTTGAAACATTCTATTTTGTCTGCTAACAATAAGTTAAGCTTACAAATATAATCCAGCTGCGAGGTTCTTGACTGTGTTAAACATGTGAGTCATTGAGATTTGCTCTGCGACAGCTTTTAAGTTTCTCCTCACTTCTAATAAACGCTTTTGGTTTATTTTGTATCCTCAGTTGAACAACTTTCAAAATTTGAATTTCTTTTTTCCTTTATTTTTTTAGCATTAATACAAGATGCTTGTTAGTTTCAGTGTACTAAGCATTTTATCAATTATTTATTAGTAATATTGTCTCTTCATAATTACAGTGGATAAAAGCCATTGGCTTCATTATTTTCAATAAAAAATAAAACATCGTTTTTATTTTTGTCTTTGACATATAACTTCCAAGTGCATACCATATATGATTTTGTCAAGATTTGCATACAAACCACTTCATAAGAATGATAGTAATAATGAATGTCACATTGTTGCTAAGACATTCTGTTGCTTAACACCACCAGTCTGCTTCAATGAGGAAGCATATGCAAATTAACATGATTTATATTAAACTTATTTAAATTTTTGTTTTGTTGAGACTTTGCCCCCCATTTCTGGCATTTTATAAACTACAACATGACCACCTTAAAATATCAAAAGTGTCAGCACACCTCCCTAGAAGCGAACTGATCTTATTAGAGATCTAGGGGAGGTTCAGCGGTTTTGTCAAATGTCCTTAATCTCAAACCTCCAACAAACCTTAGCAGTTTCAACACAGCAGATGTTTTTTCACATGAAGCGAAATACAATAATTCAGGCGAGGTCAAACACGTGGCAATAGGGACTTAAAGATCCAATGACCCAGACGGTAACAAGAACTTGAAAAAAACAATAGGTTTTATAAGCAAAACAACAACTTTGCATATGTATCACACTTAGTTGTACATTTCTTTGCCTGTTTTTGCACAACTATGACGAGAAAATGCCTAATTTTGCATTTTATGGAGTACTTAAACAAGCAACAACAAAATTTATGTCTCTTTCTGAACCCGAATGTGGTCCCTTGGAATTCAACTTCAGGAGGGTTTGCCTGCATTTGAAAAAGTAAGTGGGTAGGAATAATTTGCGATAAAGACTGAAATAACGCTTTTTAGGCGATGTTCTCGGAGGGGTAGCGTTGTTGGATCTTAAAGTCCCTAATGTTGGGCAGCAGTCTCCATCAATAAGCATATCTGGGTTGGTCTACGGGCTGTAGGGCTCTTGGAATTTTAAAATGCTGTTGCTGAGGCCATTCATTTCACTAAAGTTGCCTTGGCCTGCAGTCCTTTTTAGCTATTTTTGCTCCCAGCCCTCCCTCTGGTTATGTTTTGGTAACTAACTCCACTGAGGTTTTCAGTGTGACGGAACCCGACCTGCTTGTTGCTCAGAGGGTCATCATGGTTACCTTCTGCTCTTGCTTGTGACCCCTTCAGTTTGTCCAGGCAGCTTTCCCACCTCCATCAACTGGAGATGTTGTCAAACTTTCACTCACAGTTGTACAGCATATATTATTGTGCAGTCAACTCTTGCCTTATGGACACCTCGCTATAACGAACACCCCACTAGAACAGACAGCAGCTAAATCCCCGGCAAAAACAAATTACAGACGTGTGACTGAAGTAAACTCTCGCTAATGAGGATACTAACTCAAGGTCTCTACGGTGTCCGCTATAAAGGGAGTTGACTGTAGTCCAATTACCGGGTAGAATAGAGTACTGTGTTGACCAGTTATGACTTCCAAGACTTCCCTGTTCTCTCTATAAACCTTTTAATCCTTCCTTCTGGTTCATATATTAATCTGTACATGTACTGATACAAAGACAAACATATATACATGTAGTTATAGTGGATCTACATGATCCTATAAACTTTACACCAAGAAGCCATCTTCAGTCATTCTGTTGAGAGTTACTGGTATTTTGTCATTGTTTGCAATCATCCATGTAACTTGTGCCACGTTCATTAATTTTTATAGGTTACAGGTTGATCAAAATGAACATGACATAAATGTTTTAGAGGGAGCTTTGGAAAAGGTGAGCTCTTTGAAGACATAATATTTTCATGGTTTACAGAGAATTTACACAAAAAAATCTAACTATGACTCTTAAGATTTGAATCGTACTTGGGAGTCATTTTGACTGTGGTACATTTTCCTCCAGCCAATTCTTTTTATACCTTTATCTTGGCTTTCACTTTAATTTCAATTTGCTGGCCAGGGTACATTAATACAACAAGTAGGAAGGGGATAAAGTAGCTAAGGAGTTTTTAATTTTAATGAATTTTTTTTATGAAAGTAGCTTGGGGTCTCCTTCATATGTAGTAACTACAGGGCTCGAAAAGTTCCACCAGTAGTCTGGGGCAAGTATATTTTCTTGCTGGGCAGGTAACTTTTAAACTTACTTGCCACTGGGCCTCTAACAAAAGTTTTAACTTAAGGCAAGAAGTGGTTCTGGCCAAGCACAATGTAAGAGCTGCTAGCTTAGACTATTAAAGGACAAGCTATAATTCAAGTTTTTTCCGAGCCTTGATACCCGGGGAAAATTCCCATTCCCTGGCCTCTAAGGACAGCCTTGTATTATCTTAATGGAGGGACACAAAATGGTGTTTTACACGTTAATACTAGGCATAATTTATTTATACTGTAAGCAACACTAAAGTTTCACTTTCTAAGGCTATTTTCATGATGTAAAATTAACATTGTTTTTGCTCTGAGTTATATTAACCTTGATCTACTCACCTTTGCATTTTCTTTTCAGCTTATAAAACTTTGCAATGGAATGGTTGAGACAGGAAAACTGTTTAATACATCCACCAGGTCAGTCAGAGCTGCACTATGTACTGTACAGAAGGTTAAAAAAAACTGTAAATTATAGCAAGGGTAGCTTAATTAAGGGTTGTTGTATGCATCTCTTTCATTTTTTGATCTTTATTTTTCAGTGGATTGGTTGGTGGTATTGACAGTCTAACAAAATACTTTGAAGGAGATGATCTTGTCTCCTCTACTCTTCAAAAGTTCTCGTGGGCATTATCAGAGCTCCGAACATACCTGACAGTAAGTGAGAATTGAATGCTGCATTGTAGCAGTAATTCCCCGCTCCAGGAACTATGAAGGGAATGGGTACAAGCTTTCAGTGCAATGATTTCTGGGATTGTTTGGGTGGACAAGTGTTACTTATGATGGGTGGATGGTATTCAAGGCAACCATTAACCAGTTATACTGGTAAGTAATCTTTGTCCACCCAAATGATCCCAGAACTTGCTGTGCCGAAAGCTTGTACCCAATCTCCTTACAGTTTCTGGAGTGGGGAATTCCTTGTGTTGTTAAGTTCACAGAGAGAATGTGAGGCCACTATTTTGCAAGGGAAATGATAATATTACTATTATAAAGAATAAAAAACCTAGAAACTAATTCATTTCTAAAAAAGAAAGTTTCTGATATTTGGGACAATAGCAGTATGGAATTAGACACTTTTTTTAGCATAATTACCTAGCATACTAGATAATTATTCATTGTTTTTTCTGCTGGTAGATTCTTTTGGAGCAAGCGCAGAGGTCTATATCCACAACTCTTCAAACTTTTATAAAACAGTAAGTTACTACACAGTTGATCTATTCTCTAAAGTAGTGATTTGTGCACACAGCATATCCAATGCACATTGGGCACCCTTTGAAGGTGCATGGTTCCTATTTGCACAAGTTGTCCAGAGCTCCATGTGGGAGGTGTGGCATGAATCTGCCAGAAAATTAGTTTTTCGATTTTCATGTCCAGACCTCATTCCCTTCCTTGACAACTTATGTGTAGTTATGTACACGTACCTGCATGCATGTACAAGTATGACTTTTCTCTGGATATACCTACAGGAGCTCCATCGTCCCTTCATATCCCCACTGTAGTGGTCCCTAGTAAAAACAAAAGTGAAGACTCAAGCTGTAATCACTTTTTGACAATCATAGTACAATAAATTTTACTGGCAACGCAGTAAGTTAGGATTTTGAACTGATGCCTTAATTAAATTTTTTAAAAGTTGATTTAAATATTTTTTTGTTTGTCACAGAGAAGTAAAGAAGGTGAAAGAGACCAAAAAACTGTTTGACAGAATCAGTGATGACCGCGATAAGTGAGTATTATGCAATAATATTCTGTTACAAGATAAAAGCAATAAATTTGTAGTAATTTTGTTTTTTGGCTGCTCTGCATTGTTTTCTCTTTCTTTTTTTTTCAGTGCTTTGAGCAAAAATGCCCAACTTCAGCGCAATTGTAGGCCATCAGAGGCTGAAGAGGTACAGTAGAAATGAAAAAAGGTCTTTTGAGGTCTTTAAAGTCATCAATAGAGATGAGCATGTTGGAGGTGCCTGTGAGGCTATCAGAGCCCTTACTGCAGCAGAGTACAATACATGTAACCTTAACAACCAGTAACAGTGGCATCCACCCAGGCACTGTCACTCTTAAACCAGTGTAACCTAACATACTTACCGTAGGGGGAAGGTTAGGGAGCAGAAAAATACTGCAAGCACTAGCCACAACAGGCAATGGCACTTGAATGTAGTGGCCTTACCTCAAGAAAATGGCCGTAATGAGCCCCCTGTGATGCAATTAGGACACCCACACACATCTCCAACAAGAGACAGATGGCCTGCCATTGTCTTGAGGTTAACTACACCTAAAGTTCATTTATCCACATTGAGCTGGGGTGTACATGTAGTTGGCGGATGGAGTTCTGAAATGTGAAAGGCTGTGTTAGAAACAAGTCCTAAGCAACTTCTGATATAATGTAAAACATCTTAACAGGCAGCCAGCTGGTTTTGTCTCTCTTGTAATAATTTAGCATCATTGGTTTATTTGGCAGGCAAAGAATATCGTGACTGCAATGCATTCCTGTTTCAATCATACAGCTTTGGATTATGCCTTTCAGGTTTGATATTAAGCAAAATTTTTGTTGTTTCATCCTTACATTCTAGTTTTTATTTTTCTTTTGTTTTATACTTAATGATTCACACAGGTAATCCAAAGACTAAAAGGTAAAATTTGAACCACAACATTCCCACCTGGTGGATCTAAATGAAATTTACACAGAAGAGGGGCACTAAAATTATTGAAATAGGGATGCTTATTGGAATAAAATTCAGGAAATAAAATAATTACTCATGATCATGAATTCATACTGAGGGTTAAGAGACAAAGGGCTCTTTCCATTTGTCAGAACTGACTGGCCAGACTATAACCATCGTAATCAGAATTTCACTTTTAATCAAGACTATCCAGCCGGATCAGTCAAATCCTAAATAGCAAGCATGAAGGACAATGTTTTTAAGCCAAAACTCTTGGAAAAAGCCTATTTCATTGTCAAAACGACTGGTTTGTCCATAGTCCAGCTGGTCATGCAGTTCTGACTTTTGTAAAGTGCCCTAAGAATCAAACAAGGTTGAAACTACTGTAACACCAATTTCATTTTGACCTACAACTTGTTCACCTGGACATGCACCAGTGATTAAATAACATTTCTTTTGTGTTTTATTTAATGTACCTTGCAGATAAATATTTTGCAGTCAAGGAGAAGAATTGATGTCCTGGACAATGTAAGTGATAATGTACTTTAGCAACAAGTTGTTATTAAATCATTAATCAAGGAGAACATGAACCAACGTGGCATGACCATTATTACAATAATGCTTTGGACTCCAATCACTTCCTGAAAAACAGTGCTATTACAGAAACTGGAAGTTTTCCAGACTTGGGCAATCAGCTTGAGGATTTATCTAGCAATGGCACAGAGGTGAAAATCAGGTAGACAGAAATCAGCTGAGGTGGATATGACAATGTTGGGTGAAAACATGCAGGAAGTGCCCTGCTGATAGTATCTCTACATTTAAAAGAAATTTTAATGGGGTAATGAAATCAGAGAGAAGAAAAGCCGAAAGGTAACTGGAAAACTGCAAGAGTAGCAGCCAGGGGCTTAAACCTGGAGGCAGAATGTTATGGCCTTACACATACCTACTGTTATAATGAGCAAGGACAATGACCAATAATTACCATTACTTTCTTTTTTTTTCAGATTTTAAATTTCATGCATGCTCAGTCAACTTATTTTCATCAGGGATACGATCTGATGAATGATTTAGATGTGTACATGAAAAAAGTGTCCAAACAGGTAAGTGAAAAAACACAAGAAAGTATTGTACCCTGTACCTCAACTGGCAAGTTCTTTTTACAGATGATCTAATTACAGATGACACTTGGTGACTGAGAGAGAGAGAGATTGTTAGGTTAATTAATGGGCTGGTATTATATTGTGTTTAACAGAGACTGCTCAAAGACATCATTAAGGATCAATAATAATGTTATTCAATTCTGGCAAGGCAGTTTGTCTGTTACAAAGCAACTGTATAGTTGCCCGGTCGGATCAGTTTGCTTTTCTATAAACCCTGCAAGTAAAAATTTGATAGTGAACATTGATTAGACTCTAAGGGTTAAGCTTGCATGCAAGACTATCACAGAGATTTGAAAATAGTGATTGCTGGTAGAGCTGGTCGCTTGTGGGAACTGGGAAGGGCTGCTTAATATGCAACAGCTTACAACTCCGGAACTTAAGGGGGAACAGATAGAATTGTACAACAAATCCAGGTTTAAAACAAAATGTCTCTGCCCATTCTGATTGAATTGTCTTATCTCTGTGGAATGAAGAGACTGTGAGATTACCTGCTTGCTTGATTCAACTAGTGTGGACGGTGTTTGAAAGCTTTGCTTCCTGATCCGTTAGAGAGACCATACAGAACATGTATTGCATTGACAAATTAAATACATTGAGTGATGGAAGACCATTGTCTCTACCACTCTTATCCAGCCCTCCTTCTCTTTTTTGTATTATATTCTAACTTGATTTCATTTTTTTTTTTTAAATAATGCAGTTGGAAGAAATGTCAACCCAGTTTACTGTTGACAAGAAAGAAATGGAAGAAAGACACACTCTTGTCCAAAAAATGGTAGGTTTAACCTGTACTTTGTGAGTGGCAATAAAGAAGCAGTTATGGATGTTGAATGTCAAAACTATTATAATAGATTATTGTTGCATTGATCATCCATTTATAAATAGTGAGGTTTAGAAAAACATTCAAGGGTATATTATAATGTATTTTTTTGTAGTGAGGGGCCAAGTCTTGCAGCTTACATTTTTGAAAGCTTACATGGGTTGTACGACTCTCTGCATTTGCGAAAGTCTGCAAAAAAGTAATAATTGCCTGGTATGTAACTTATCATTTTTATTTATGTAGGAGGAGAGTGGATCTTTAGGAAGAAGGACCCTTGATGACCCAAGGTATAAACAATATTCGCCACTTGATCTGTTAATAAAAATGTTACAGTTTGCACTATATTAAAATTTTACTAACACTAGATAGGGGGGATGGATGCTTTTCCATGTACCGGTAATTCACACTACATAATTGATAACAACCTTTAATAATGACCTTGAATTTGTTGCCTTGTATCTTGCAGTGGTTTGGTAATGGAAGGCTACTTGTTTAAACGCAGTAGTAATGCATTCAGGAGCTGGCATAGGTGAGAAAAATAATATCAGTGTTAAATGTATGAACATCTTAAAGCGTGTTTTCTTAAGAATCCTAGAACTGGCTCAACTGCTTTGCATTGAAACTGTTGAATAGCTTTTTAAACCTTTTTTTGTAGGAGGTACTTTACTGTGCAAAATAACCAGCTGATGTACCAGAAACGATTAAAGGTACTTAAATTTTGAATCTCATCTTTATTTAAAATATTAGTGTTCTTTGTAATTAAAATTTGTCTCCAAAATTGTGACGATGACGGTGATGATGATTGTGATGATGATGATGATAATGATGATGATAATCAGGGGTTTCAATACGTTTTTGCACAAGTGGGTACTTAAAAGTAACAGGCGGGTAGATTTGCCGAAGGCCCGACTTTGACCCTAGGGGGGTTCAGGGGCATTTTCCCCTGGAAAATTTTGAAGTTCTAGACTCTCGCAGATGCATTTTCAGGTCTTTTTTTATTGCTTTGTTGTTTCATTTTTTTGCTCCTAAGTCAACTAATTTAAACAAATTTGAAGAGAATTATGTTACAATGAAGTAGTCACAGTCAAAACGTATTTTGCCAAATTTTTTGGCAAGAATTCGAAGCTGAGATGAAATTATCTGGTCTTAGTTGACGTTCATGTGAAGGCTCCAAGCGAGTAATCGGCCTGTTGCAAGCGGGTAGATCTACCCGCTACCCGGCTACTATTGAAGCCCCTGTGATAATGGTGATGATGATGATGATGATGATAATGGTGATGATGATGATGATGATGATGATGATGATGATGATGATAATGGTGATTACAGGGATATGCTAGTCAGCTCAGCTTACTCTGTCATTTCTGTGATCAATTCAATTCGACATGATACTACAAACTAAGAGTTCAGCAAAGAGATGATGTTAAAAGTTTATGAAACCGAATTACCCCTGATACATGTCCCCATAATATTCATACTTGAGTTCCCTCAGAAACCCTCTATCGATTAGAGGCTAAACAGACTTCCAGCCGGGGAGGGGAGGGGAGGGGTTTACTTCCTAGAAGTGCTAACAGGTACGTGCTGCTGGATGGGGGTCGTATTTTCACACTGATTGACTTTTATATTTCTTTTATTTAAGAGTTATAGAATGGGGTCGCGTTTTCAGGTTTTGGGGTGAAAAAATTAGGTATTAGAAAGATTTACACCACATTAAATTTAACAAACATGTCAGTTAATTTATGGATGACCTGCTCAAAAGGTGTTATAAGGTAGATGCATAAACAGACAGTCACTAAGTTGGGATCACGTTTTTTCTAAAGTGACTAAGATGGGGTCTATAATATGGCCACTGTAATGGGTAGGGGTTCTGAGAGGCTAGTGGTGGCAGAGAGACCCGACAAAGATTATCCCAAGTAACCCCCTCCCCCGTCCCTTCCACAGGGGCTTCTAACAAGGTGCTGGTCATGAAGAAAACTAACAATGTCAGGGCTTCATTCAAACAAGCTCTGATAAATTAGATGCTCTACATAATTGTAACATTAACAATAACAATAATAATAATAATAATAACAATAATAATAATAATAATAATAATAATGATACAATGGTAACTGTAAGTTACATTCTATAAGCATTGTTCAAGTAAGTGAAACTGGTGCTGTATAAAGGTTGCAAATGGAAGAAAAGAGGTTTGAAACTAATCCTCGGTTTTATCGTTCTTACAGGTGCTACAGTGAAACCTTACAAAATACAATATTCAGAGACATGATCAAGTTTATGACAGTGTTCCTACAATTTGAATGAAGAAATATTTCTGCTTCCCTGTGTACTTTAATATTCTTAGAATAAAAATAATTAAAAACGAAATTATGAAACTAGAAAAAGAAATCAAGAAAATGTGACATAATCTTTTTCAATAATCGGCAAAATGACAATCATTGGCATTGCTCAGTTTTTTGTCTCATCGTTGTATGTCGCTTAAATACATGTACAAAAGATTATTGTTGTTCTATACCAAATATGAATTCTACAAGATACTATTATAGCATCTATGAATATAAATATTCTTGAAAGTTCTCTCGTTCAAATCGTTACGATTTTACTTTCACTCTGCTTCACAAAATAATCATTGTTTCTTTATAAACTTACCTGTGATTTTTTAATTGCTCTTCCCTGGCAAGCCTGATTTAAAATCTTGCGGGCTTGTTTGAGCTCAAATAAGATATTCGGTCCGTTGTATCTACTATTTGGATTCATTGCCCACTTGGACTTGATGTCTCACTCGCAGGAGCTCGAGAACTTAATACTAAAACAGCAGAAAAACGATGATGATGATGATGATGATAATGGTGATGATGATGATGATGATGATGATGATGATGATGATGATGATGATGATGGTGATGATGATGATGATGATAATGGTGATGATGGTGATGATGATAATGGTGATGATAATGGTGGTGGTGACAACTATTATTATTCTGATGGTGATGATGATGATGATGATGTTGAAAATATTGATTTTAATATGATGGTGATGACGAAGATTATGCTGATGCTTGCATCAAGCTGATCTGATGGTGGTCTGCAGGTGGTACAGGCATTGATGATGATGATGATGGTGATGATGACCATGATGATGATGATGAAAATACTAGTAACTGATGATGGTTTTAAGACGGAATCCATCAGGAAATTCAGTAATTTCAATTTTCAGTGGACAAAAACCGTGTACCAGAATAATTTAAACAATATCGCATTCTTTTTTACATTTTTCAAGGACTATAGATATAATTAGTTATCTGTAATAATGCAAAGACTATTTCTCATGGGAGCCCGAGGGAAAAAAAGGCAAATTTCACAATAATTGTGAAAACACAGGTAAAATTCTGTAAGTTTCATGTGTAAGGTTAGATTTTGTGAAATTTGACGTGTATTTTCTCAGGCTCTCGTGAGAAATTTTTTTTGGTGTTATTACAGATAAGTAATATTACATCTCTTGCCCTTGAAAAATGTATAAAAGAATGCGATATTACTTAGAATAATTCTGGTTAAAGGTTTTTGTCCACTGAAAATAATAATTACTTAATTTCCTGATGGATTCTGTCTGAATGTTGTTGGTCCATAATGATGATGATGATGATGATGACTACTTATTGTTTTGTAGGATGACCAGACTGTGCTAGCAGAAGATCTTAGACTTTGTAAAGTGAGACCTACTGATGAAGCAATAGAAAGAAGATTTCTCTTTGAAGTTATTTCACCAACAAAGTTAGTACCACTAGGCCAAACAAATGGTGGTACTTGGCCTGTAGGCTCAGTGGAAAATATATCTGCGTAAAAATGTTTTTTAAGGCTCTGTAATGTAATTTGTTAAGCCATGGAATAACTTAAGAGATCTCAAGAATTTGCTTGAATGTGTATATACATCCGTGTTATATTTGGAAATTGAAAATGTTAACTTTTGAGGAGAGCAAAAACTTGAGTACCAGGAGAAAAAAATCTTGTACCAAGAAAGAGAACATACATATAAACTAACTGGGTTTCAGCCTCAACCATCAAGTCATACGGTTAGCCATACTTGTGCTCTGTAGGACTCTTGGATACCCTTAGATAAAACTGGTTTGTATTTTCTCATCTTATTTTAGGACATGGATCCTCCAAGCAGACAGTGACTCTTTAAGGGCTGAGTGGATGGAAGCTATGCAGGTTAGTGTAATGCTATGACCAGGGCCCAGTTGTTCGAAGGCTGATTAGCGCTTAACCTTGGGTTAAATTTAAGCCGGGTTTCTTTTTCTTGTGTTCAAAAGCATTTTCTCGGATAATTTTCTCTGTTATATTTAGAGCTTTTAATCATCAACTTGTAGACAAAAAGAATTAAAACTGAAATGCTTTTTAAGCTTTCAAATCTGAATTCAAATCTTACACTAACCTTGGGTTATATTAACCCAGCTTTGAACAACTCGGCCCAGTTGCAAAAGTACTTGAGTCACTGTCCGTATTTTGGCTTAAGTGGCCTCTCCATGATCTTGTGCTTGTGACCGCCCTCCACCCCTTAATAAAAGTTGCTAGCAATACAAGGCCATGCTCAATACTTGGAGGAACAACTTAGAATGGAAGGGAGGAAGGAGGTCAGTATTATATCTCACAGACCTGTGTCTAGCAGAGATTTGGAGCAAGAGAGGTTGTTTTTTCGTTGGAGTGTCTCAACAATTTTGCAACTGGTTGTAGCTTTTCAGTTGATCCACTTGATATTCTCAGTGGAAAAAAATATGGATGGACTTCGTGCTTGTTTCTAGTACTGAATGAAAAGTAATGTGTACATATTTTTTTGTGAATTTTACAGGCCAGTATAGACAAGGCTTTCAACAGCACAACAACCGGAGAGGCAGACAGCAATGAGGTAATATGAAATTGTAACTGTCAGATACCAGAGAAGTATGGTCAGTGGTTACTTTCCTCTACTGTACAGTTTAAAAATTGTGAAATTACATTACAGATTATATGTTAAAATTGAAATTTAGGAAGTTTGTGAGTTTCAGTGACAAGAAAAACCAATGAGCAATTAATTATAGCACTGTTTGTTGCTGCACAATGTCATTAATTTTTGCATTTGTACTTTAGAATGGATGAAATCCTTCAAGTCAATATAATTATAACCACGCATTCAAATTTAATTTAATAGCTGATGTGCCTATAGTTTGATTTAGTGTGACGCTGTTGGATGTAAATGATTGTTTTTATTTCTTAATTATTGTCTTCAAAACAATTCACTTCACCTCATCTCACCTCTGCACACTCTACTGTTAAGTTAAGCATGAAAGCATTCACACTTCTCCAACAACTTTAATGCCAAATCCTTTGCAAAAGTTCTTACCTAATCTCATGTTGCCCATCCCACCTCTGTTCTCTCCTTTTCTACCCTCCTGTGCCCAATTTTTCTCTTTCCATGACGGGTCTAAGACAGTGCTGTGAAACGTTGATGTCCTGTTTGCGTACACAGCGCATGTCCAAGCCACCTCCATTATCTCCTCTTCATTTCAATACCTTTCCTTTCAAAAATAATGCTCTGGGAATAATTATGTGGAAGTAAAAAGTAAAAAAAGAGTGATTTTTTACTCGTGTTTGTATGTCATGTTTTTTTGCTCGTTGTTTTTAGACTGACTCTCTTGGCTCGGGGATTAAGAGCAAAAGTGTGGAGTCTTTAGACAAAATTGTTGGACCAAAGAGGTAAATAATTTATTGTTGTAGTAATATTTAATAACAGTAATACCGACATGTGCCTTGGTGCAGCAAGTCTAAACAAAAATTAATTTGATTTTTTTTACAGCATTCTGGAGCAAATCAGGGCAGTTACTGGAAATGACAAGTGTGCTGATTGTGGAAGTTCAGGTAAGAGAAGAACATTAATTATATGTCAGAGGTGTAAAATCATTAATTTTCAGCAAAGCTCTCTCACTATATGTGGTCCTATGTTGAGCATCTTCAACAACATCATAAATCTTAAAGTCAGTGTACTAGGAAATGTTCAAACCATTTACAAAACTAGGAGTAATCGGTATGATAATAGAAAAAAATTACAGTAATGTGCTTCAAAATTAACTTTAATTTTTATTTTTGATAGCTAGCTTCTCTTTGTCTTACCCTGCAGATCCAACCTGGGCAAGTACCAACTGGGGAGTTGTGCTGTGTATAGAGTGTTCAGGGATTCATAGGTGCAGTATAGTATCACAGACTGTCCAACCATCCTGATCTCATTAGGATTGCCCCAATTTTGCTTGAAAATCCAAAATCGCGACCAACATGCCATCCTGATTTTGACATATGTTGTTTTGAAATGAATTCTTATGATACTTTTACAAGAACACCTAACACTGAGAGTTTATACAGAAATTGTCCTCTTCGAACACTAGAAATGGCCTTTCAGAGCAAGATTCCAACACTTTCCACGGGAGCATGCTCCCAGACCAACATTCACACCCTCGGCACTCACGTGATTCGTCAGTGATATAATATGTAGATTTTACGTACTCAAAAGGTTGGACAGTCTGGTGTCACCATTTATGATTGTTGTCATTAATTTTACTGACTTTTCTTGACTTCTGTTTTTTTCTAGGAGCCTGGGTGTCCATGTGTCAAAGGTGCGGTCCCTAACGCTTGATGCATGGGAACCAGAGCAGATTAAGGTTAATAATTCACACTTGTTTTAATCTGTTTTTAATTAATAATAATGAACTATTATTAATGAAATAATGATTATAAAATTATTACTTCAGAGTATGTACTCAAGTTAGGATTGCCAATGCCAAAGCTCAGAAACGCTTTGAAGGTTTTACATTTTCTACCATTTATTTTGGTGCCCATTTCAAGAGATGGTCAAGTCTTAGGTGCAGCTTAGCTTATTGCATGTGCGAATTTATGTAAATTTTATGAATTTATTCTACTTTGTTCTGTTTTGAGAAATTTTTCTGATTACTTAGTTAAAAACATATCGTGCAATATCCAAGTTTCTGCTAGCATGAGCACTTTTTGAAGTACTTAGTGAACATGAGAACTAGTTGACATTGCAGTCATATATATGTAATAATAATACTCACTTCATGCAAAAACATCCCCTGACCCTCTGATTTCTTTTTGAAGGAGTTGTTTTTTGCATTGAGCCCTCCCTTTTTGCATTTTGTTGCTTACGATAATGTGAGCGCTTTTGAACTGCGGAAATAAAATTAATATCTTTATTTTTTTGCATTTTTTAAAATAATTTTGCTGTTATCTTTGATCTTTTATAGCTAATGACTGAGCTGGGGAATGAGTTGGTCAATGGAATCCTTGAAGCAAAAGTTGATGCTATGAGTACAAAGAAACCTACTCCACAAAGCAGCAGGTACATTGTACTGATTCTGATGGTTCTCTGTTTGTTTGTTTTGTGCTGTGTTACATTTTCATGCGATGTCATCCTCTAGGGGTGGAGTGGGTTAGGGTGGTACTTGACCCATAGGCTTAGCAGTTAGCATCATACACACCTGACACTGTCAAACCCTGACTCTGTTAAGTTCATAACAATTTTATGCATAAATTTTGCAGTTTACTTAAAATTACCCAGTAGCACCCTTTTTACAAGTTACTTTGCTGAGTATTTGGTGATCTTTGGTTGACAGAGTGGTATATTTTGTCTCTGGCTCACAATCCTCAGTGGCTTACAGTTTGTAACTACAATCTGTCGAACACTAATTTTTGTAGGAAACTTTAAATCAAAATAATATTAATATATTTTTAATAATGTATTGGGCATTGTGTACTGTTTCAGAGGTGAACGTGAAGCTTGGATCAAAGGAAAATATTCACAACATAAGTTTGTATCGCTGGAAATCTTTCTTACAAAGTGCCAAAAATTAGACAAAGGAATGATAAAAAACCTTGCCAGAATGAAAGTTTACCATGAGGAGAAGGGCATTGAAAGAACTGACTCAAAGAAGAGTAAGATTCTCCGAAGAAAGCTTGCTCTTAAAGGACATAAGTCCAAGGCGGACAAGAGAAAGAGTGCTCCTCCAAGCCTGTTATTATCTGATCTTACAACTAAAGACTATGAGAACTTGGAGAAAATGGCTTCTAGTTTACTTGAACAAAGCAATGATGAAGTTAGTAACTGTAGTAGTGACTCGCATGATGACGAAAGACTAGAAGTTGTCTCTCCTGACGACGCTAGCAGACCAAGAGCGTCCTCTGTCAGTGGTACAAGGTCTATGTCCTTTGAAGATGGTAGGGACAGAGGAGATTCTGTTGACTCAAATTTGAGTGATGATGGATTGCTTGCTAGTGATAATAATGAGCTTGAGGTGGCTGATGAGGAGAAAAGTTTGAAGGAAGACAAGGTGAAAGCTATAGCAGTGCTTAAAAGGATCCACCCTAGTAGGGTAGGTATAAAAGTGTTTAAAAAGTTCATCAGTGTTGTTATTTTAAGCTTCATCACTAAATCCACAAGTATTCAAGATAAAGCAAACTGTGACAGTGTTCTGATTGGTTCGCAGAGTCGGAGAGAGGAGCCCATCTTGTCTTTTTGCCATTGCCCATGGTGGCATGTTGATCTCACACTTGGTCAATAATGCATCTGTATTTGTACCCTCATTAAGTAAAGTAGGTGGTGAGCAGCTAGCATTAAACACTTCAAACTTCAGACCTGCAGGTGTGGGCTCTAACATTGCACATCCTGCAAGTAAAAGTCCTCATTTTGGCCAGGCACTTGATCTCATGCTTGGTCAATAATGCATCTGTATTTGTACACTCATAAAAATTTATAGCAGCAGTTAACTCTTCGAACTTCAGACCTGCATTGTTTCCTTAGACAGAAACTTTGCTCCAGTTTCCTCTTAACCAAGGGTCAAATTCAGTAGATTTTATTATAGTGTTATTTCTTTTGCTCTTATTCACAGCTACTGTTTAAAGCTGCAGAGTGGAAAAGTCTGCCTCTGATGGCAGCATCCCTGGCTGAAGGTAAAACTTTGTTTTAAAACAGTTTGCTGGGATTTAATTACCAGTCAGCTCTTTTGGATTATGCACACCACGGTGATACCATCTTTATGGGCAGGCCGGTATAGAATTTCACATATGTTACATGTAGTAACATATGTTTCATTTCAAAAGATTGAGTTTGATCGTCTGGGTGAACGTAGTCCTGAATAGGACTGTTGTTGTTGACAGTGACTAACGTTTCGACAACCTGTGCGGTAGTCATCTTCAGAGTCAAAGTGAGTTGTATCACGTCAGTTGATGGTATTATATTCTGGTTATTGTTCCTATTTGTCAATTATGTCGCGATGTTGGTCTTCTGTCAGTTAAGCCTTGATGTTATTGGCTATGAAGACTCGTAATCAGTGATTGGTGCGTTTCGATCCATCTATTGTCACAGTTAAACAGTCATCTATTGTTAGTCAAATTGTCAGTTGTTCTCTCGTAGTTAGTTTTGTTTGATACAACTCACTTTGACTCTGAAGATGACTACCGCACAGGTTGTCGACACGTCAGTCACTGTCAACAACAACAGTCCTATTCAGGACTACGTTCACCCGGACGATCAAACTCAACCTTTTGAAATGACTCCTGGGTTCAAACCTTTCACAGTTATATTTTTCATTCTTGATGGAAAGCCTTGAACAGGGTTTTTAAACGTTGTCACTGCATCATCTTGACTGTGTTGTATCCTAACAATTTTTTTCACATAAAGGCAATTAATGCCGTACTACTGTACATAATAATATGTAATTATGTCTTTGCAAATTGAAATGAATAAGGGTCTTGTACATGTAAAATGGTTTTTTGTCTTAAACAAGGTTGTGAAGTGAGTGGATTTTGCCTTAAACAGGTTCAGGGTTTGAAGGTCTTGGCAGCACACCCCTACCCAAACCTTCCCCATCTCCCTTCCCCCTCCCATCACCAAAAGCAGACCCCCATAAATAGTGGATACTGCCTCAGAAACTCTCAAACTCCTCCCCTCTCCCCTTGCCACCACCATCCACCAGCCCTTTGATTTTTAATGACAAGAGCCTGTATCAAGTAGCTGTTACAGGTCAAATTTGATTTCAGGTTAATTTTGATTCAACCTAGCTTGATTTTTTTAACCTAGGTTATTTATAACGTACTGTTATATAGTCATGCAGTAAGCCATATTACTGGTACATTATGTTGCGTTTACTTTGCATTTTCAATATTCTTATCAGGTGCAAAGGTTAACTGGGTAAATGAAGACGATGAATGTAAAACAGCCCTACACCAGTCGATCCTTGGGGTAAGATTTTTGCTTGCTTTACAGGCTTCTCTCATTTTTTATTAGGAAGTGTAAATTAATAATTGTATGTACAGTCAAACTGGCTTTATGGACACTCACTTGATACAGATACCTCATTATTACGGACAGTTTGCTGTGTCCCTGGGAAAGGAAAGTCCTTGCACTTTCTCTTAATTCAACTTGCTTAATACATATACCCCGTCTACATGGCTACTTTTCATGGCCCCTCAATGTCACTATAAGTGGGATTTGCCTGTACTAAATAAAAGAAATAGAGTAACAGAAAGTATAATATATCCCGTCAAGCACTTGGGTATTTAAAATGTGAAAGCTTTATTAATTTACACTTTATTCTTTTCACTGTAAGACGTACATACTGATGAAAAGTTTTAATCTTGTCAATGAAAATTTTATGCTTATAATACCATAACCAGTGCCGGATCCAGACCTTGAGAAAAGGAGGACGGCCGGTCTCCAAAAAAAAAACATTTTCGGCCCTTCGTGCCTCGGTTTGGTCTAAAAATAAGGGAAGACCAGGTCCCTCCCCTGATCCGCCACTGATAACCTGCAATCAGACATTCTTTCGTGGGTTGATAGCACAAAAGTTGCCTCAAAAATGAAAAGGGAAGAAGGTCAGGACCCCCTGATTGCAGGTTAATGATGATACCACTCTTTACAGATCATTTACAGTCAAGGGAAGGGCTAGCTACTTGGCCCTTGTCATCAGTGACTGTTTTCCTGGTGCATGTTATTTTAAAAGCTACTTTCATTTCAGGGATCATTATCAGCTTGCGAGTTTCTGTTACAAAATGGAGCCAAGATTAATCAGAAGGACAAACGTGGAAGAGGTGCTCTGCATCATGCTGCTTTATTGGGGCAAACAGGGTAAGCAGCTTATTTGTATTATTATTAATTAGTGGACTATCTGATACAGTCAGGCGTCTGCTAGAAGGTATCTGAGGGTGCATTCCTTTAAGATGATCTGGATCAGGATCATTGATCAGAGATCACTCAGATTATGGTTGATCAAACGAACCCACAAATCCACTCTGGACATTAGGATCCACCAGTTTCTTTTGATCTACCATGATCCAAGTGATCTCAGATCACTGATCCTGATCCAGATCATCCCAAAGGAACGCTCCCTAAAATCCAATAAAATCACATTAATAGAAACTTAAAAGTATCGGTTTTGCAACATCCACACTTATGTAACACCACTAATGTTATAGACTTATACAGTTGTAGTTGTCAATTTAATGAAGAGTGTGTCCATGTTAACTCACTAAAAGAAAGCTCCCAACCTTTAAGATTAATTTTGATATACAATTAAAACATTTGTATTCATTTTATTTTTCAGTCCCACACTTCTGTTTTTGAAGCGAGGAGGTAATCAACATGATGTTGATGAGAATGGAGAGGTAAATATGAGTGCTATAATGTTAAATCATGTTGTTAACTCAAACCCAATCTTCATTATTTATCTAAAAAATTTACTTAAAATTTAATTGCCTTTTTTGCTAGGATCCTCTAACTATTGCTGTGAAGCAGATGCATGCAGATATAGTCACTCTGTAAGTACAATATTGTTTGGCTTCATTTCTTGTAGAAGAGAATCCCTTTGAAGAGGAAAAACCTACCGTAATGCACGAGCAAAATGACGAGTTTATGTGACAACATGACAAATGTAGACTGTAGGACGAGAAAATAACGTGGATTTGTTTTAGTTATTTGCTGTATTATTCTCGCTTAAATCTAAGGTAAATTGACTAAAATCCAAAAAAAAGTGACTAAAAAAATAATGTCCAGACTGTGATATTCATTGTTCATGGGTAAAAGATGCATCCAGAAATGACCAGTATCTTACTTGTCGAACATGTCATTACATAATAATAATTTTTTTGTCACATTAAAATTCTCATTTTTCCCGCACACTTGCTTGTTTTTGTCTATAGAACGATAGTTCCCAAAAAGTGACAGTGCACTGGAAATCATGATGAAGCTATTTAAATATTTAACATTGATTTTTGTAGTTAAGTAAACTCTTACCTAAACTGCTCATAACTGAAATAATATTAATTTTATTTTGTAGGTTAAGACTGGCAAGATTGAATGACGAAATGAGAGAAAGTGATGAGATCAGTCGAGGTAAACTGTGTTAAATAATTTTTATGCTTATTTTTGTCAGTTCTAGAGAAAAATAAATGTCTTACTTGCAGTTTGACTGGCCCACAGATGGGTTGTGCTGGTAAAATTAATGGTCTGTGAAATATGTGGATCTTGCACTTTTAAGTTTATTGATTATAAGTGAAACCCCATAACTGATAAAATGATCGAAAAGGTATGCCTATCAACCTACAAAGCATTTTTGCCTTATTGCGTGTGTGGCTGCATGGTATTTGTCTTCGTTTTTTATCTATTTGTGACCCGAAGTTTTGCCTTTAGGCTTGCTCATGTTAAGGTTATTTTTCATGGAGAGTTGAAGTTGCATTTGTGATTTATTGCAGGTGATAATACCTTCTTTGATGTATTCAGAGATTTTTCAAACATGGCCTCCAAGGAACCCGACAGGCTGAAAAGGAAGTTTGACTCAAAAGATCCAAATAGGCAGACACCAGTGTGATTTGACATGATTAAAATTTAGATCAAAGAGGCGAGATCTTGCCATTTGGCAGTATTACCAACACATCAGGCACATCAATCTAGATTCCATGGGTTAAAAGTAAAGAAGTGCTTTTTAGTAGAGTTGATGTTGACTGTTCTCAGTTAAGGATTTGGTCCAGAGACTCAAACCTTAAAACCTACCTTGTGCAGTCAGTAATAGACAGCACCACAGGAAAGTAGTCCTGCATAGCAGCTTTCATTGAATGGTTACACTTTTACTATTACACCCACATACTTAAATTAGTAAAAACCTCCATTATCCTAGTAAACGGTACCACAGGAAAGTACTGCCCCCCAGCAGTAATTTGAATGGTCATTAGTTGTGCAAAGAAATAATCACTATAAGATGATGATGATGATGATGATGATTATTATTATAGGAAGGCAACAAAATGCTTTCCAGCAAGTGATGGTGATGTTATTATTTTAACTTCAAAAGACTACAAACCCTATTTAGTTGAACTAACTTTTAATAATAATAATGGTATTTAATATGTTTGGGGTGCAGTGATTTATTATGCAAAAAAGCCAACAGACAAAGCCGAAGCGTCGCTGGATCTACTTTTTTTTAGTGATTGAAATATTTATTATCAGCAAATTAGAATGGAACTCAGTCATAAATTGAAAAAAGGGCGTACTGTACAGTTTAACTCATTTAAATTAAATTCTATTTTGGACTGATGAATATGAGTCAGTTTGAATGAATAAAAATTATTGTACAGGTTACTACTCTGTTTTACAGAAGATAGCAGTTTTTTGTTAGGTTACGGTCAGTTTTCATACATTCAATGATATTGTATCATCAGAGTACAGGTGTCATTAATAAAATCTGAGACATAGAGACCTTGATCAAGTTTGAGGCTATGCTGGAAAAAGTTTAAGTAAAAAGAAAAAATTTCAGTATCCAGGAAACTGACAAAAACAAAACATAAAAGTTTGTCACAAAATGGTTCCTAACCAAACAATAAATCAGGAAACAAATTAATGGCCCTTAACCAAAACATAAATCAGGAAACAAATGGTTCCTTACTGAAACATAAATCTGAAAACAGAACAATAAATAGACCACAAGTTGGTATTTTACTGCAGAGCAACAATAACATTCAGAAATTTCACGTCATCTTCTTTCTAAATAACATAAGAGCACAAGGATTCTGTGAAAGGATGCTTCTGCAGTGAGACTTTAAAGTACATGGAAGTAAAACATGAAGTGCACATGATAGACTTGAGTATTAATAGAAGCTGCAATAGAAGGCAGTATCTGAAATCAAATTCCCATCATAAAGAGGACTTCACCTTGTTGTTAGCTTGTAAATTTTTCATTTGTTTATCTTGTTAGATTGTTTGTTATTTTTTTAATACTGTCTCTACAGTTAATAGTTTTGTAAAATTAATTCCTGTTTTCTTTAAAAGTTTTTTCCTATAAGTTTGCCTAGTCGCTGGGCCTTATTATTCCACATTGCTAATGCATTTTGTGAAGGCCTGGGGAGATGCTGTGAAGGAACTGGGAGAGTATTAATTATGATGTTTAACTTATAAAAAAAAATTATTGTGATCTATTGAAAATGAACAGATGAGTATACGGTTTGAAAGCTAGTCGAAATCAAATGTTTGATAAGTCAGAACAAGATTCTTCTGTTTGGCATCGAATTGAAAAACTATCTAAGGATAATTATATGGCAGCTGTTAGATTACAAGCCAGGGCTCAAAATGAGGGTTGGTCAATGGGCAATATCGGGCCAAAAACTTTATTTGCTGTTCATGTTGATGAGTTACATACACTCTCATTATTAAATAAACGTCCAAATCCTCACCTGTAGATTTTACATTTTCTCTTAGTAACAATACAATAATGTTCACAAATAGAAAATTACACCAGGATTAGTTAGCTTTTATCCAATACTGATTTTGACTGGTCAGAAACGAGACTTGATCGGACAAATTTTTAATTGGCTGTCATCATGTCCAGCCACCGTCCAAAAATTATTTTGAGCCCTGCAAGCTGTCCTTTGTTCATAGAATGAATCATCACTTGACATTAGTATGTAAATTTTAAGTGAGGAAATTTATATTGTTTTAGGAAACTTACTGTTAAATGAAAGTTTTCTTGTACAGCACGAAAAGCTATACACACTAGAATAATAAAATTATTATTACTGTTAAAAGTATCAATAATAATGGTATGTACAGATATGGAATAATTTGTTTTTTCAAATAAAAGCTGCCTGAGATACAGTGTACGTTGTTTGATTATTTAGAATATGTTTTGGTTTTTGCTAGTTATCTTCCCCAGTGAGTTAAATAAAGACAAAGGACCCTCAAGGTAAAAGGCAACACCACAAGTACAAGCCCTTAAATCCCACTAGTGGTTTTAAAATGTTTCAGGTATATCAGGGCTGTTGTTAGCAACAGGCAACTTAAGCTGCACTTGCTTTGTCCATAATCAGCCACAAAATTAGAGACAGTGCCCAGAAGGGCCTTTTTGACATTTTGCCAACTTCAAAAGTTATGCTGTGTTGTTGTTCAAGCTACCTGTAAGAAACAACGAAAACCCTAACTTTGAATGAAGAGAGTGGGTGCAAACTACGGAACCCCGTTTGAGGACAGTGACTCAAGAATTTTTGTTGCTGATTTGGGTAACTAATATAAAACCTACAGAGAAGTGGGCAGTCCCTCAAGGGAGTATTATAGTACAGTAAAAATTGTGATTGAAATCATATAAAAATAGTAACCACTCTTTTATTGTTTTTATTGCTGGTTTTATTTTTACATGTATTGTAAGTGGTAAAATTGAAGCCCCCTATTGTCCAATAACACTGTCTAGTTTCCTTGATACTTTTACTCCTACAAGAGCAGTAAATGGTAAACTTGAAGGCAAGACAATGGTCCTCTTGATGTGTTACTGGTTCTGTTTCTGGTTTTTGTTTGATTTTTGATAGCTTTCAGTTTTGCAAAACAAAAGTCGTCAAGTCTCTGTCTCATCTTCAGCGTGCTCTCTTAACTTTCACTTGACTTGTCATCAGGCTTTGCCTCTGGTTGACTTTCAGCTTGTTTTACTGAAGGTGAGTCCTTTTGTGTTGAATGCTAGAGGATTTTTAGGAAAAAATATTACAGAAAATCATTGTCAACTTTGTTGTCGGTACCTTTAAAGGTTATTGAGATTCTTTTGTACAGTTAAAGTTAATTTTACTATTTCTTAGCAACATGGACTCCCTGTGTAACTGTAATTGACAAACCAGCCGGCTGTGGTAACTAGTTGTCTGGGACATGGTAGGGATTTTTGCTGCCTAGTCTACAATAGGGTTATAAAATCTAGGTAACATTGGTCTGGTTGGTTCCCAGGGTCCAAGTAGTAATAATTGCAGGCTTCACAAAGTCATTGAGCATCCCCCAGCTCTCTACCAGACAAGAAGCTATGTCTGATACCACCAGGCTAAATTAATATTGTCAGGTTCCAGTTGGAAAGGTGGATAATGCTATCTGGTGGATAAATCACTATCCACCCTATATTGCTTTTTCCTAATACGTTTCCACTGGATTATGGTGATTTAACTGGTGGATGGCATTACCGTTGGTTGCATCTAAGTGTGGACACAAGCCAAAAGCTAAAAGAACCTGTTCTAATGGGGTGCCAGACATGACATGTTTTGCTACCAAACATTTGAAGTTTGACAGCTGTTAACGCAAACTGTCCTGCCAAAGGTAAGTTGTTTACATTATTTTTGATCAGCACGTTCCGTTCATATGTCATTTTTCTCAACTTTCAGCCATATTTCTAGCTTAGAAACAGCACACTTGCCTCTAAAGATTATTCTTAACATCTTAAAATTCTTGCAAAGAATATTTTGTTAAGAAACAAATCAAGTCAACAACAGCAGCCTACTTCAAACTTAATCAAACATTTGGGGGGAAAACATGTCATGTTTGCATCCAATTAGAACATTTTTTTCCCTCACGTGTACATACTTAGATACAACCGACGGTATCCAACATATTTGAACAATCATGGCTAGAAGAAAAAATATTCTCAAATCATTATTATATATAATGATTTTAAATAAACTATCCACTGATCATGACTTGTATAATACCTTCTGCTCCTCATGACAAGGAGGATGTTTTTCACCATCCTTGCTTGGCCTTCCCCAGTATGGCCTGCCACCTCCAGCCCAAGGTGGTCTTCCAAAATGAAATGGAGGTCCATGTGGTCCATGCCAGAGAAACTGATGTCGACAGTTTGAATACCCAGCACCAAGACCAACCCCTAAACCCAGAGTGATAGGCCAGGCTGCTCCTGAGGAGACAAAATTAATAATCACCATTTGCAGTGTACCTGACTATTAAAAACCACCACCTTCCCCACTAGGATTTTCCTAAACCTTAACGGAGTGTGAGGAGGAGGGGAATTACTGGAGAGTAGACAAATTTAATCATAATTATGATAAATTGGAATGGCCAGTTGCAAAGGAGAAACCGTCTGCTAGCCAAACCTAAAACCTGATTTATTGTATAACGAATAGTAAAAGTCGGCTAGGGATCACTACACCCTCAAGTCCTCGTCGGTTCTCTGCAAATTTGTTTGGAGACAAGACCACACTGTGTCCATGCCACTCTCTCTCTAATCCCGAGCCCAGCCCAAATCGATTCGATGATAATCTTTTACTTTTTCATAGCCAGAGACATGTAAACACAAGCATGTGCGAAAACTAATACATATTTCCGGTTTGTCAGTGACAAACGGTACAGTGCAAGATCTACAAAAATCAAGGTAACAACAATATTGAGCTTACTTTTGAAAAACAGAAGCGAAAATACGCCACCAAAAACAGCACCACCAACTAATAATAAATCACATAAGAAACATTTAGTGACGTCTCATCAATAGTATCTTTCCTGATGGAGAGAATCAAAATACCGGTTTTAAAGGTGGTATCCACTAAACATCTATCCCACTTTCTTCCCAACTCTTCTTCGCCCGGTCGAACAGGCGCCATTTTGAATTTTTGTGAGCCTACTATTCTTTGTCCTGCAGTTTTCCTCTGCGCATGCGGACAGTGAAATACCCCCTGCATTGTCACATGTGTCCTCTTTCTTTCTCTTTTCAGCCATCATGCCTGCGGTAAGGAATTACAGGATTTTTATCACATTTTACACCGTCGAAGCGCCTCCTTCTTGACTTGTATCTTGTGTATTAAAAGATAAGAATTAAATCTTTTACTTTAACTCGTTTTTTAAAGCAAAACAGTCACTAAAACTGAATTTTTTAAACTCCATGATGCCGAACTGTAAGACTAAATCATAGGTTCGACTGCACCGTTTTTAAATGAATTGTATTTCTTACGTTTCTTAGTTAGTCTGATACTATTAAAGAAAATGACCTCCAGTATTACTGAATCGAGAAAGAAGAGTAACAGGAAGATTAAGTTGAACACAGTTTTCAGTGAAACTACCTTGGTAGAGAATCAAATCTTAAAACGAAGCTTATTTCTGTTCCTTTTCTTGTTGGTGAATCTTATTCACTTTCTAAGTAATTTATCTTTTTTAAGTACAAACCACAGCACCAAGAATGATGTACACAAACTGTAATTACAAAAAGTAGGCTTCCGTGATATAATATTATAAAACAGCTGATATGTACAAAATGTAGGAGGTTTGTAGGACGCTTTATCTCTTAAGGGTGGTTTCCATATGATCACTACAATCATTGTGATCGCTGGAGAGTGGTTTCCATATGGCACAAAGATAAACTGAAGTCTTTCTCAGTGATCATCAACGCTGTGACTGCTACGATCACTGTAGAGTGGTTTCCATATGATTGGTATGATCGCTGAACCTTTCTTTCAGTGATATGCAGGGCCAGGATCAAAGAACCAATGATATTGCTAAATTCAAAGCAAGCCCTGAGAAATTTTTTGATTGAGGTATACATCCTTGTTTTTGTTGTTTTTCATAGAAAAAGAAACAACAGAAAAAAAAGACGCAGCTAAAATTCAATGTGGATTGTACTCATCCAGTTGAAGATGGAATTATGGACGTTGCCAACTTTGTAAGTATTGGTCAACTATTCTGATAAAGGCTGCCCAGATACTATAAATGTGTTTGATTTGATGCCCATAGACAAAGGTTTGCGTACATTGTTGCCTTCTCAAAGCTAAGGTGTCCCAGAAAATACTTTATTGTACAAAGAATTGGTTGGTGTATGTAGCTGATTCAATAAAGGTTGTTTTCAGCATTGGGAATTGGCAATTGGGCTTTAGGTATTTGTCCATATGGAACAATGTAATGATTTGCCTGAGTGACCACGAAACAGTAGCTCTTTAGTGGCAAATTTCCAATGCCCAAAGCAGCCTTGTTGAATCAGCTATATGTTGTGGTTCAATTTTATCCTTGCATTAAAGTTATTTTCCATTGTCTTTGGGTATGATAAATAGAGGATATTACATGGCCGCACGGAGATACGAAATTTCTCTTCGAGTGTTGAATCTCCAAGCGACCATGTAATGTTCTATTTATTATATAAACACCAATGAAATGCCAAACCATTTTACTTAAATAGTTTTTTGGTCTGAAAGGTGTGGTTTATTATCAAAGTTTTCGCACGAAAGCTCACTTGGTATTTCATTGGTGCTTATATAATAATGTATGATAATGAGTGTAAAACGATACAACATAAAATTTTCAACTGGGATAAAACTAATAACATATATACATAGTGGAAGTGTTGTGGAAGACATTAAAGTAAATTTTCATCTCAGTGGTCAAGATGTCATATCTTCAGACTTGACTTTAAATCACTTTTATAGGCAGTTTCCTTTTTTATCAGAGATGACTAATCTGATTTGATACAAATAACAGAAAAGACTATAACACCCAGGCTGCTGTAGTGTACAGTTATTAGGGAGCATAAGCAATGAATACGGCAATGTCAACAGGAACGTAAAAAGAACAATAGGTTTAGATTTGCAAAACAACAACTTTGCACGTGCGTCATGCTTTTCACACTGCACAACTATGATGTGAAAATGTGTAATTTATTTCATGTTTTGTAGAGGACGTGAACACAAGACAACGACTTTGTTTTTCTTTTCTTGACGAGTTGGAATAGGCTCGATAAAGTTTGAAGCAGTGCAATTTCACTTTGTAATAGGCATATTTTCAGGGTTCATACACATCTTGACAACCCTCGAACTTTCAGCACCCATTTTCGAGGCGATAAATTAATCATCAATTGGAAAGGTCTTCTCTTTTTTGTGTTTCTAGAAAATCCCTTTACTGTAGATTTTGTTGTACCAAACCTTAGCTTCTTTTATTTAAAGGATCTTGAAATTCCTTGAATTTTTATAGAAATGTTTGTGTTCATGTTTGCTGCAAATTTGGGTATGAAACTCCACCATTTTGCTGCATCTACAGCTGTACAGTACGTCCTACTTAGGGCTGTCATTAAGGGACGGGGTTGGGACCGGGAATTTCTTCTAGCCACCGTGAAGGTGAACCCTTGCTAGAAGAAAAAGAGAGCCAGCAGAAGTTTGTAGCTGTTTGATTCCCTGTCCACTTATTGTAATAAACTGATGAATCTTATTGACAGCCCTACCTACTGAATCTTATTGTGTGGTTAAGATTCTCATTCAGCAGAGATGTACTTGTTCTTTTCCTGATCACTGCATACAATGCTTAGGGCCACCTTCCCTAAGTGTCGCTTGGCATTATTTTTCACAGGAACAATTTCTTCATGAGAGGATAAAGGTTGGTGGTAAGACCAACAACTTTGGCCATGATCTGTCCATTGAGCGCCAGAAGAATAAGATAACTGTTGTGTCAGACATCCCATTCTCCAAAAGGTAACAATATAATACAGTTTAGGAACTATTAGGGGTATCTTACCAAACACCTTTGGGGTTCATACATGTACTGGAAGTTGCAGACCAAGTCTCTTCTCTCTGGAGTTTTTACTCTTTCTTAAAGATTCAAGAGGGGGAAAGGAAGGTTACTGTCTGACAGTTGTGACTGGAAGGGAGGTTACTGTAAAGATAACAGGTTATGTCTTTATGGGTGGTTGAGAACTGACAGGGTGGATACCTGAACCAGGATGCTTGGAAGAACAGTATCAAATCACAACATCTAACATCTTTTTGAAAGCTCAAGATACAATTTATTTTGCAAACGGACCATTAACATTCAAGTATTTCAGCAGTGCAACCCTTAAAATTTAGAATCGTTAGAAGCTTTACTGACCTTTCCACAAACTGCTCTGTTTTGTGATTGGCCTTTTTCTGTCCAGATTTTTGTGAATTTGTGAATACATACAGCTGTAGCTTGAAAAAAACAACACGGGATACATGGTTCGCAAAGTATTTCCGCTTCCATATGTAATGATTTTTGTAGGGGTGAGGTTGCTCTCTTTGTAGGATTTGAGGAAAAGTGTTGGTTGGGATTCACTTCATTCGCAGCCATTGTTTGTGTGGTTGCACAAGGGCATAGGAGTGTATGGCAACACAAGACTAGCAAAAAGATGGGAATAACAGTGAGCATCATCGTTATAAATATCAACCTTTTGATTCAATCGCAGTTTAATATTAGGTTTGTAAAAAGACATTGTACAAGACACAACTATTTTCAAACTTGAATTTTTACTCTGTAATGTATCTGAAAAAAACATTCTCAAGCCATTCAGAAATTCACAAGAGTTTGGATTGATACTGATCAATCAGAAAAGCGAACAGTTACCCCAGGGGTAAGGAAAGTTCAAACAGTTTATAAAACTGCTACAATTGTTGAATATTTTGATGTTATTGGTCTGTATGCAAAAAAAAATTGAGAATTTTCTGTTTTCAAAAAACATTGTGGTTGGATAATCTTCTCCCAAATGCCCTGGTTCAAGTATCTGTACTGTAGGTTGGTCATAGCATGTTAACATGTGCTGCATTGATAAATCTTGACACATTTATGGAAACACTTTTCTTGTTCATTGCATCTCCAAGGTAATCACTTACCTTTACAATGAGCAAGGAACTTTCTCCTCTCTACCTTGTCATTGTGAGTGGTGCATGTCAGGCACCAGTTTTTGGTTAACACATTACAGTGTCTCAGCCTTTCTTCAATTGATTGCAGCATATGGGTATAACGATGCCTTTCAATTGATATTTGCTGGTATAAATTATGCTGGAAGCATTTCGTCAACAGCAGAAAATTTGACACAACATCACTCTTGAATAAAGGATGTAAAATATCACACTAATTGACTTAAATGTAAGAGTTTGGCCACTTGGTGTAAGAGCTTTGATATCCTGCATAGGAATTGAGGTGTTCACATGCAAATTTCCCCTGGCTGATCTGAACATATTCCTTAACAAATTGATTTAGAGAATTTGTTAAAAGATCAGTTGAAAGCCTTCACCATGGTTGATCATTTTTCTAATTCTCATACCTTTTCTGTTGTTAATGAATAGATATATTGTTGCAAGGAAATAAATTATTAATGTTGGTCTGTCTTGGGACTTAGGATAAATAATTCTGATAAGAGAGAGTTAAGTGTATTCTCAAACTATTTTTGTGTCACCTCAGGTACCTGAAGTATCTCACTAAAAAGTACCTGAAGAAGAACAACTTGCGTGACTGGCTGCGAGTGGTATCCTCAGCGCAGAACACGTATGAGCTGCGGTACTTCCAAATCAATAATGAGGACGAAGATGAGGAGGGAGAAGATGAATCTTAATCTGGTTCACATTTGTAACTCTGAACTGAAGTCTCGAATAAAGGAAGCTTTGAGAAGTTCAATTTTCTTGTCGTTGAGTTGATAGTCGAACAGGGAAAACCACAAACACCAGAAATATTTCTGGAATGTTATTGTGTTGTAAGAAAAAAGCCAATCGGGCATGAGAAACTAAACCGCAAGCAAGAATGTTTGAAGCAATGAATTAGTTTGTGGTTTTGTGGCTATAAGATAATGTACTTTGAGTCTCCTGATCTTTGCTGTGATAGGCCGAAACACAATAAACATCCCTGAGATATTTCTGATTGTTTCCTTTTCATTTTGAGTTCTAGAAGAAACCGGTTATAAAAAGCATACCAATACTCAGCACATTGTCATAATTATTTTTATTTAGAGCCATTTCGAGAGTTATTTTTCCTAACGAAAGTCAATGAAAAATTTTGGAATGTTAGACAAAAATCTTAGGCTAAACCCTTTGGAAAAATGCCAACTTGGTGACTTTCTAAAATCATTTTTTATAATATAGTCTTAAGAAGGCTTGTTTAATCTACAACATCACCGAAAACCATTTCTGAACTTATTTTTCCCATAAAAAATAAATGAAAACATTTGGAATTTTTGAAATAAATCATGGGCTTATCGTTTTAGAAAAATGTAAATTTGATGACTATCTGAATTAGGTGAATTTAGTGAAGTTCCATTTTTTTAATTTTCTGTTTGTTAGATCGAAAAGGCCCAGAAACTCTTTTATGACGTCCTAGATAGAAAGTAAGCCTTCGTAGACGATCATAATATCGACTTTAAAAAGATGCAAAATTTTCATGGTTTTGATCAAAAATTTCAAATTTTTTTATTCTCTGTTTTTTAGATCAAATAGGCACATAAAAAGTCTTTCATAACGTTCTACACAGAAAATTAGCCTTTCTACACAATAAATTCAAAAAGTGGCAAAATCTGCATTTTCTGCTAAGAGGTTAGTCCATGGTTTTGGTCGAAAATTTGAAATTGTCTTCATTCTCTTTTTTTTAGATCAACTACGCCCAAAAACGTCATTCATGACGTTCCAGATAGAAAATTAGCTTTTGTACGATAAAATTGTTAAATATTAAAGAAGTAGCACAATTTTCATTTTTGCTAAGGGTTAGTCATGATTTTGGTCCAAAACGTTGAAATTTTTTCCTTCCCTGTTTTTTTAGATCATGAAGGCCCATTAAAAGTCTCGTGATGTTCCAGACTGAAAATTAGTCTTTTAAGATGTTAAAAACATGGAATTAGGAACGGGGCAAAATTTGCAATTTTCCAGAGAGGTTAGTCCATGGTTTTGGTCAAAAATTTGCATTTTCTTAATTCTCTGTTTTTTAGATGAAATAGGTCCATAAAAAGTATTTCATGGTGTTCTAGATAGGAAATTAGCCTCTCAAGTAGATTAAGGCCTGGTTCTTTACAAAATCCTCAGAATTTTAAAGGGGGCTGGTCTAATGTAAAGTTTTTTTAAGATATCCCAGGTTTAATAAATTAAGGCTAATGATAACTACAAAATCTTCAACTTTCATTTCAAAAATTGTTTATAACTGCATCACGTGACCAGCCACGCCCTGTTTTGTCGAGAAATCCTTTGGGTCGAAATACCCACGATGTAGAAAGCAAACCGTTTTCCTTTTGTAGGTCCAAACAGTGGCTACTGATAGTCTTTTTGGAAAAACGGGTGGAATGAAACGAAGTCATTTAACGTCTTTCTCCTAAAGATTCCAACCATTCCAGGCGGATTTCGTAGACACTTTGTAGGGTCAAAGTTTTGATACAGAGAAACTGGAGTTACACCTTTAGGAAGTGGTGGGCATCGTTAATTGTAATTTTCGATCAGAAGAGGGCGTGGTCGATCACGTGACAAGGTAATTTGGATTTTTTTTTCAAGTTTTTTTAAGGTTAATTTACTTTACCATCTGTTATTCCTGGAGGATGTCTTTAACAATAGTTTTTGGAAAATTTACATAAAATCACAAATGACGTAGAACCAGGCCTTAATCTACTTGAGCTTTTTAGATGATGAAAATGTCGAATTTAAAAAGTGGAAAAATTTGCATTTTTGGTAAGGGGTTAGTCCATGATATGGTTTTGGTCAAAAATCTGCATTTTTTTATCCTGTGTTTTTGAGATCAAATAGGTCCGGAAAAAGTTTTTCAGGATGTTCTAGATAGAAAATAAGCTTTTCTAGATGATAAAAATGTTGAAGAAAAACACTGCAAAAATTGGCTTTTTGCTAAGGAGTTAGTCCATGGTTTTGGTAAAAAATTTGCATTTTCTGAATTCTCTGTTTTTGAGATGAAATAGGTCCATAAAAAGTATTTCATGGTGTTTTATATAGAAAATGAGCCTATTTGGATGATGAAAATGTCGAATTTAAAAAGTGGAAAAATTTGCATTTTTGGTAAGGGGTTAGTCCATGGTTTTGGTCTAAAATTTGCATTTTTTTTATCCTGTGTTTTTTAGATCAAATAGGTCCGGAAAAAGTCTTTCATGATGTTCTAGATAGAAAATAAAATTTTCTAGATGATAAAAATGTTGAAGAAAAACACTGCAAAAATTTGCCTTTTGCCAAGGAGTTAGTCCATGGTTTTGGTCAAAAATTTGCATTTGGTTTATTCTCTTTTTTTAGAATAAATAGGCCCATGAAAGTCTTTCATGATGTTCCAGATAGGAAATTAGCCTTTTTAGACGATCAAATGTTAAATTAAAAAGTGGCAAAATTTGAATTTCTCCAAAGTGGTTTGTCCATGGTTTTGGTCCAAAATTTTCAATTTTTTCATTCTCTGTTTGTATTTCAAATAAGCCTCTAAAAAGTCTTTCATGACGTTCTAGATAGCAAATTAGCATTTCTACACAATTAAAATATCGAATTTGAAAGTGGCAAAATTTTCATTTTCTGCTAAGGGCTTAGTCCATGGTTTTGGACGAGAATTTCCATTTTTTATCCCGTGTTTTTTAGATCAAATAGGTCCATTAAAAGTCTTGCTGTTTGTTAGATAAAATAGGCCCAAAAAGTCTTTTATGACGTTCTAGATAGAAACTTAGCCTTTCTAGGCGATAAAAACAACGAATTCAAAAAGGGGCAAAATTTGCAGTTTTCTCAAAGGGGTTAGCCCATGGTTTTGGTCAAAAATTTGCGTTTTTTTACCCTGTGTTTTTTAGATCAAATAGGTGCATAAAAGGTCTTTCATGATTTTCTAGATAGAAAATCAGCCTTTCAAGACGATAAAAATAACAAATAAAAAAGGGGCAAAATTTGCATTTTTGCTTAAGGATTAGTTAGTCTATGGCTTTGGTCAAAAATTTGAATTCTTTTATTCTCTTTTTTTAATTTTCTGCCTTTTTCATTCTCTGTTTTTTAGATCAAATACCCTGAAAAAGTCTTTCATGATGTTCTACATTGAAAATTAGCCATTCTAGACGATAAAAATACCGAAATAGGCCCATAAAAGTCTTTAATGACGTTCTAGATAGAAACTTAGCCTCTCTAGGCGATAAAAACAACGAATTCAAAAAGGGGCAAAATTTGCAGTTTTCTGAAAGGGGTTAGTCCATGGTTGTGGTCAACAATTTGAAATTTTTTATTCTTTGTTTTTCAGATCAAATAGGCCCGTAAAAAGTCTTTTATAACGTTCTAGATAGAAAATTAGCCTTTCTAGATGAAAAAAACAAGGAATTAAAAAAGTGAAAAAAATGTTGAATTAAAAAAGGGGCAAAATTTGCATTTTGCTAAAGGGGTTAGTCAATGGTTTTGGTTAGAAATTTGCAATTTTTTCATTCTCTGGTTTTTAGATCAAATACGCCTGAAAACGTCTTTCTTGATGTTCCAGATAGAAAACTAGCCATTCTAGACGATAAAAATATCGAGTTTAAAAAGCGGCAAACATTGCATTTTTGCTAAGGGGTTAGTCCATAGTTTTGGTCAAAAATTTCAAATTTTTTCATTCTTTGTTTTATAGATCAAATGGGTCAATAAAAAGTCTTTCATAACGTTCTAGATAGATAATTAGCCTTTCTACACATTAAAAATATCGAATTTGAAAAGTGGCAAAACTTTTATTTTTGCTAAGGGTTAGTCCATGGTTTTGCTCAAAAATTTGCATTTTTTTTATCCTGTGTTTTTTTTAGATCAAATAGGCCCATGAAAAGTCTTTCATGAACTTCCAGATACAAAATTAGCCTTTCTAGATCATTCCCTGTTTTTTAAATCAAACACGCCCATAAAAAGTCTTTCATGACGTTCTAGATGGAAAACTAGCCTTTCTAGATGAAAAAAACAAGGAATTAAAAGAGTGAAAAAAATTGCAATTAGATCAAATACGCCCAAAAAGACGTTCATGACATTCTAGATAGAAAATTAGCCTTTTTAGACGGGATTAAAATATCAAATGAAAAAAGGGGCAAAATTTGCATTTTTGCAAAGGTGTTAGTCCATGGTTTTGGTCAAAAAAATTGCATTTTTTTATTCTGTGTTTTTTCGATCAAATGGGTCCACAAAAAGACTTTCATGAAGTTCTAGATAGAAAATGCCTATCAAGGCGATAAAAATATCATATTAAAAAAGTTGCAAAATTTGCATTTTCGCTTAGGGGTTAGTCTTTAGAGTGTTTTCACTCACGTGGCCAGTATCTATACAAATTTATTGGAACAGAAGAAAACGTTTGCATAACAAAAGAGTTCAACTCCCAGAGGATTGGTTTGGGACACCCAAATAGCCGCCGTTTCATTGTTTTGGGACACCAATATGGTCGCCGTGACGTCATGTGAAAACACTCTATAGAGCGTTTTCACTCGCGTGGCCAGCATCTAGACAAATTTAATTGGAACAAAAGAAAGCACGTGCATAAGAAAAGAGTTCAACTCCCACAGGACTGGTTTGGGGCGCCAACATGGCCGCCGTTTCATTGTTTTGGGACACCCATATAGCCGCCGTGACGTCATGTGAAAGCACTCTATGGTTTTGGTCAAAAATTTGAAATTTTTTTCTTCCCCTTTTTTAGACCAAATACGCCCAAAAGAGTCGTTCACGACGTTCCAGATAGAAAATTAGCTTTTCTCGGGGACAAAAATCTCGAATTAAAAAAGTCCATGTTTTTGTTCAAAAATTTGAAGTTTTTTGCACTTTCTGGTTTTTAGATCAAACCGGCCGTTAAAGCCTTTAATGATGTTGTAGATAGAAAATTAGCCGTTCAAGACAATAAAAATATCAAATTTGAAAAGTGGCAAAATTGGCTTTTTTGGAAACTAGTAAGTCCTTGGTTTTGGTCAAAAATTTGCTTTTTTATGCTTTGTGTTTTAGATCAAATAGGCCCATAATAAGTCTTTCAAAATTTGCAGTTTTTCAAAGGTCCGTGACTTTGGTCAAAAATTGGAAATTTTTTCCTTCTCTGTTTTTTTAGATCAAATAGGCCCACAAAAGTTCTTTCTTGGCATTCTAGATAAAAATTAGCCTTTTTAGATGATAAAAACATGGAATTAAACAAGGGGCAGAATTTTCATTTTTCCAAAGAGGTTAGTCGATGGTTTTGATCAAAAATGTCCTTTTTTTATCCTGTGTTTTTTAGATCAAATAGGTCCATAAAAATTCTTTCACGTCGTTCTAGATTGAAATTACCCTTTCTACACTATAAAAACATGGAATTTAAAAAGCGGCAGAATTTGCAGTTTTCATGAAATGAAAAAATTTGCATTTTTGCTTAGGGGTTAGTCCATGGTTTTTGTCAAAAATTTCAAATTTTTCCTTCTCTGTTTCTTAGATCAATTTGGCCCATAAAAAGTCTTCCATAACGTTCTAGATAGAAAATTAGCTTTTCTACACAATAAAAATATCGCATTTAAAAAGTGGAAAAATTTTTCATTTTTCCATGGGGGTTAGTCCATGGGTTTCGTCAAAAATTAATCATTTGTTTTATTTTCTGTCTGTTAGATGAAAAAGAGGCTGACCACATAAGAAGACCTTCATTTGATGTCAGTTCTCCCCGGTTAGCATGCCCTGGACTATGCCCCCGCTTTTGCAATAGATTTAACCTTTTCACTCTTTATATCGGCCTACCGCCCCAGATGGAAATTACAAAGTGATTACAGCATGAAAAACCAAATGATTTGATCAGTCTTTTATCGTGTCAAAATTCTCTTCCAGATTAAAAAATTCCAACAATTTCCTCACGTGGATTGAAAATATATCTGTACTGTAAAAGACAAAACGGACTAGTTGAGAAGGTAAGGGCCGTTAAGGATGACTTTTCCCTGGCTCCAAATGTCCCTTGTCCGAATAATTAGTTAAAATAAAAACCATAAAACCACGCCTACGGTTTTTAAAGTCCCCTAAGCAATTTTTCTTCTACAGGTTGTGCTTTGTTCACGCAAATTTGCCGCTGAATTGAGCTTTGTCTAACTTCTTGATCAGTTTTAAATGTAACATTAAGCATATGTCAAAGGCTCAAGTCTTAAATACAAAGCTGTTGAGTTTTTGGCAAAACAACTGGTAATTTTGCTCTAGTTGCGGACGCTGTAACAACTTCTTGCTCATGTTTCTGTTCTGTACTGCCGGCTTCTTAGGTAGTTTAAGGTCCGGGTCTGACTAGTTTACCTAACAAAAAATGATTTATTGGCTATCATGAAAAAAGGAAGGAACAGAATCAAAACTTTGTACACAAGAAAGACCTCATCATCTTTCGTTTTTACGGTTTAACTCGCTCCACTGCCTTTTCCCGCTGCCTGTTCCTCCGCAAGTTACGTGGTCTGTGGCAGCAACTAGCACCGTATGACCCAGTATGGGAGTTCGGGTTTGCCATCCAAAATACAGTCCGACGGTTTAAAGTGTCTCAGCAATTTTGTCGTCAATTCTAATGCAAGGGGAAACTGTTTCGATGTACACTAGCCTGTCAGCGAAATACATCCGTCTGAAATGACACAGCCGGACTGAACTGCCCGTCTGCCTTGCTGCATGTCGCTTATGACACGTGACGGTTATTACCTTTGCGTACAATTTTTTAGTTCCTGTTAGTTCACCTTGCACTCGCTGTTGGCGCTGGAGCTGTCATACCCTGAGGGTAGGTCCAAAGATATGTCCTCTTCCTGACCAGAGTCATCTCTTGAACAAACAGCCTCATGCGATGTCAGCTCCTCACTGCAGCCGCTACGAAGTGCCACATTTTCGACAAAGTGTTCTTGTCTAAAGTGAAAAGGTACTCCAGTCTTGCACGAAACAGTTACTTTCCCCAAACCAACAACAACGATAGCTTGTTTCATCTCAACGGTCTTCTCCAATAGGTAATCCCCTTCATTTAACAGAACAATTTTATTTAATACCTCACGCTCTGTGATTTCTTGAAGAACATTACGCAATTCATATGAGTTTTTAACAGCATCGATTTGTAGAGCTCCATAACGTTCAATGACTGAAGAAATATCCCGACCACAACTTAAGTGATTGAAGACAGCAGCAGCAGCCAAGGCTTCGTGTTTCCTCCCTAACTCTGCCAAACTCGCTGCCTTGGTGGAGTAACCTAATAACCAAGAAGGATCCGCTCTGATAGAAGACTCTGAATCTTTACACGCAAGCTCCAGTAAGGATACCCGTTCAGATATGTTCCTCTTTTCCTCAGCAGATTTCAAGTACGTTGAAGCTCTAGCTGTAAGGAGTTGTGCGTCTTCTGGACAAATGGTTATTGCCTTGCTGTACAAAGACAAAGCCTCGTCCAATTGGCCACGATTAAGACTTTCCTTAGCTTTTTCTTTGAAAATTTTGATTGAATCCGTTGAAGGTAACAGCTCTATGTTCTCAGTGTAAACGGTTTCATCCAGTTTCAGTGGTACACCCCCAGGGCAGATAATTTGGACTTTTCCGATGCCAACCATTACTGCGTTCGCTGGAACTTTCAGTGGGTTCGGTAACTCATATCTCCCTTCTTTGAGTAAAATCACAAGATTGTTGCCGTCTGCTCTCTTGGCGGCATGATAAAGGTCATCGGTAGTAGTTATCACCTGTGTACTGCAACTTCCAAAGCGCTCCATCACTGCAGGTATATCAGTGCACCGTGATGGCAAGAGATGTTCCGCAACTGCAGCTGCAGCAAGGGATGGACCTCTTTGTCCAAGTTTAGCGAGACAAACCGCCTTCCAGTAGTAACCTTTAACCCAAGAAGGATCTGTGCTTACTGCCTTGTTCGCATCCTGAAGAGCATATTGAAGAAATATTTGTTGGTCTTCTCTAGGATCTTTACTATGGCTTTTAAGTGCTTCCTCTTCTGACAGTTTGACGTACGTTGCCGCCTTGTTAGTTAGTATTTTTGCATCGTTTGGGAATTGGTCTAACGCCTTTTGATAGAACTCTAGAGCCTCCGAATATTTTTGTGCCCTAAAAAAGTTGTTCGCAGTCTCTTTGTAATTCCTAGCAATAAAAACATTGACATCACAAAGAGGCCGTGCGGATAATGGTTTAGCGACTGGTTTCTCGTTGCTTCGCCTCATTTGTTCTCCGAGCTTATAGGCTTCATCCTTATTTCCAAGGATAGCGAATACCGTTTGGAGATACAAATATGCCATTTGCACTTCTTGGTGGCTCTCGTCATACATTTTCCTTCGCAGTGACAATAACATCTCTCCAATGTTGCGATACAACTTGCCGTTAAATTTTGCCTGTTTACTTTTTTCCGGCTGAACGCTTGAAATCAAGAAACAGCTCATTATGCCCGATAGAACCATTGCTGCATGGTCATGGCTGCTTTCGTCGACTACACATTCACCGGTATCCAAATCACCTCCTTGAATGCATTTATACATGACTGGCCAATTGTCCTCCAAGATACGAAAAAGTGTATCCTCTGCTGTCTTGGGGTCGAAAAAACACATTACTTGTACAGCGTCCGTTATTCCTTTGAAATAAAAATCTGATGTTGGTGGTTGCTTCTTTGCAATGTTTAACAATTCTTCAGCATATTTTCGTGCCTCGTGCACCTTTCCCTCATTAAGCAAATGAGAAGTGATAAACTGTAAAACACGTAACAGTTCGCGATGATCAGGGGGGTAAATGCGCCTCGCAAGTTCCAGCGCTTTCTTATAACGCACCAAAGCCGACCTAGAATTACTTGCTGACAACTGATTTTCTGCTCTTGCAATTAAGATTTGAAGGTCTACAGTGTTCTCATCGTTGATTTCTAAACGTTCGAGTTCCATCAAGGCTTTATAATTTTCTTTCCATTGCCCTTCTAACGCGTGATAAGAGGCCATATGCTCAAGAACTAGATATTTGATATCGGGTTTCACAATAATTCCAGACTTTTCCATCTCAGCCAGCTTGTGTACAGTTTCTAATGCCACCTTTTTCGCCTCCTTGTACTTTTCGTATCCAGGACAATTTCTTAAATTGACACTTGCAGAAACCATCGCCCCAAGAGCGGAATTGGGATCAGAATTACCACTCATTTTCGAAACATTCATTCGAAATTCACTCATTTCAGCCCTTAATCTGTTAAAAAACACATTGTTACTGATCAAGGAGACCACTAAGTTGCACAATTTTAAGGTGTCATCATTGTAAAGTACACGAGCCACATTTCTTTTTGATGAATGAATTTCCTCTTCCATATGATTCTTCAATTTGTTGAAATTCAATACAAGGGCAACAATTACATTCCTTTCGTCTTCCTTTAACAATGACAGATCCCCCAAAGCACCATACTTTTCTTGTTCAAAACAGGGAACACTATGCGTGCATAATGCCAAGTAAACAACTCGTGTAGCTGCCAACAAAGCCTCTTCCCTCTGTGATGGGGTAAGACTGGTTCTTACCACTTCTTGAACAAGTTTGTGGACGCTAAAGACTTTGCTTCGATGATCGACAGAGTAAAGGGAATAACTTGACAGTACCTTAAGGATGGAGGCAATGTCGATCTTGGAACGCGCACATTCTCTCAATTCCTCTTGATCTAATTCAGGCAGACCAGGATTAATAACGTCAATGGGAACATTCTCAGAATCCAAAAAGGCCGAAATTCGCATCATACTGGCAGCAGCTGGTGACTGTTCCTTTACAAACTCGAAATTCAACTCCCAAGTTGTATGAACTGACAAGCGATGTTGAGCCTCTATGCTAAGTGCTGTAGCAGGCTGTTGCTTTAAAAGGCGCATCTTCACTGCTTGGTATTTTTCTAGGTATTCATTAAAGCTCAGTGGGATAGGACTTGTAGTTATGTATGCTGCTGCCTGCTCTAGGGCTAGTGGCAATGCACCTAGCTCTTTTGTTAAACAAATTGCATCTGGGTCAAGGGATTCTCCTTGAAGATCGGTTCTTTTCATTAAGAACAAAGCTCCATCCTCTACGCTAAAGCATGACAACTCTAAAAAATCATCAGTCGAGTACCTCAGAAACGCCTTTGCGTCTTTTGCATTTTGCCTAGTTGTTAAAAGAATGTGGCCGTTCTTTAGTGATTTAACAGTTCTTTGCCAAGGTCCCTTGCATATCTTCTTTACACTTGCAGGACACATAGGATCTTGCATTTCGTCCACATTGTCCATCACAAGAAGCCATGGAAGGTCCTTCTTGGACAACCACGTAAGGAATTTGTTCAAAGTGTCATCGATGCTGTCATTTGTTGAGGTAGGAATGTTTCCCAGCGAAAGCATCTCAGCAACTGATTTATTTTTCTTTTCATCGCTTTCGCCATTGATCCAGAACACCCCACCTGGGAAGCTATTTTTGTGCCTCCAAGCGAACTCTACAGCCAAAGATGTCTTCCCACAGCCTCCAAGCCCGCATACTGTTTTGGTGCAACAGGAAGTCCCAGGGTTGGCCTCAACGCTCTCTAAAATGAGGTTCTTTTCAAGCCAATCAAGAGCTGACTTACGACCTGTGAACAGTGGTAACCTACTTGGAGCCGTGCACAACGCGTCATCATCACTGTCATTCTGTTCTTGTGTGGTTTGCCCTTTTTCCAAGACTACCACTTTCTCTTGCAAAATAGACACCTCTGTGGATGTCTCCATTGCTACTCTCTGCACTTCTATCAATTTGTCTTTCAAACTTGCTAGGGAGGTTTCAGTGTTGGCAACTTTAGACTGTGTTACACTCAGTTTAGTTTTGACAACTTCTAAGTCATCTTGGATAGCTTCGAAGACTTTTTGCAGGTCATCCCTTTTATTCAGAAATCTGTTGAAATCATCGACAGCTTTCAGAACGGTGGATAGGTCATTAGAATAATGTGCCATTACGTCTTTTAACTCACCCAGCTGCTGTGCCAACTTGCTTATCTCTTCTCTGTTTAGATCCCCTTTTTCTTTCACGTCAGTTAAATCGCTCTGCATAACCATCTTGATCTTTTTTATCTCTGCATCTACGTTCAAAATGTTACTCTGAGCGTCAGACACGTCACCTTGGCATTTTGTAAGATCAGCCACCAGTGAGTGGCGAAGTAAGTGAAGAGCCTCTACTTCAGACTCCCTCACGTTTATCAGACCCTTATGAAACAAATCTTGCAAGTCTTTCGACGATTGCTGGGCGTCTTTGTCAGCACTGAACACGGCGTCATTGAGCAGATTATTAAGATGACCAAATATGGTTGAAAGATCGGCATCTTGAATTTCCTGTTTCGGAGCGTGCGCCCAATGATTCCTGCACTCATCTCTTGCCGACGTCAAAACTGTTCGACTCGTAGGAGGATTAATAAAAGGACACCATTCAAGTAGGTTCAAAAGACCACCAATGTCCGTAGTTTCGGCGTCGACAACATCTTTTTTACGACCTCCAAGAGTTGGCATAAAGACTTTAGCTATCTCCCATGCCCCAGTCGGAGATCCCCACTGTGTTCGGTCACTGTTGTCCCAGTAAATCTTTGGTCGCCCGGATGTATGGTGACGTTTCAGTGTCGTTTTCCAAGTGTCACAAGTGAGGCACTTTGATGCTGACGATGCGCAAGCGCAAGATGGAAGTGACTGAAGCGGAGGACTGGAAATAAGGGACTGGTACCAAGTTTCCATTTTGTTTTGAATTTTTGATGTAATTCCTTTTTTGGTAATATTCAGGGCACAACCAACCATCACCCAGTTTTTGTGTTCTTTCTTATCAAGCTCTGCCACCCAACCGCCAGATGCCATTATGATACTGATTTCGAGGGAAACTAAGAAACAGTACGTCTTGGAATTAAACGACAAAGCAAGAGCGACGCTTTAGGCTATGAGTCTAGTTCTCTTTACCTTGTCCTTTTTTTAGGCCCTTTGTCGCATTTCCTAACCGAGGATCTGCAACTGAAAAACCAAAAATCTTATAACATAATAAATTACCCCAAACAGCAGCAACGGCGATTTTATCAAGAACTTTATAAATACGAATTTGCAACAGGCTTATTGAGGAGCAAACGAACGGATATTTTAATAGATGTTATGGATCTGTGAAATGTAGGTGGGAGACGAGGACTGATATTATGCAAGGTCAACACATGAATACAAATACTGCTATCTTTCAGTGTAAACGCAAGCAAGCACTGGAGAAGGAAACTGGCTCCCATTTTGTGGGTGCTTAATACCCAGCAATGATAGCAGCTTGTTACAGCTTTCATACACTACGATGGTTTGCGCAATGCAAGGAGACACGCACTCTTTATTATAAGCAAGCGTGTCAATAGAGAAAAAGAATATACAATTAGCTCAAAGGGTTGTTTACTTGTGTCACCTCCTATAATTAGCTACTGAGTATCATTTATAGTTTAAGGTATTTTTAATATCGAAAGTTTTCATTTTTATTGTCTCTATACGTTTTCTATAGCAGTAGACTGGAGAAGTTGAAGTTGAAGTAGAGTCAATTAAATTTATCTCGTGTGATGTCCCTAATTCACGTGATCACTCTGCTTTTTTGAAGAATAGATATTACAAAGAGAAAATCAATGCTCATCATTCATAGAGATTAAAGTAGTAAATGTGAACCTTCGTTGGCTGACATGTCTGTTTGGTTACTTAGTTTGAATTTGTAAGGCTTGGTTTTCTTGCAAGTTTCTCTTATAGCTCACTAATTATGACAATTATTTTTCACTTAGGTTGACAATTTTTGACACAGGGTGGGGTGGGCAGACCCTGAGAATGAAGATGTATTTATTATGGGGATTCCTGAATCTCTATTGAAAGACCCTAAGAATGAGGTAGACAGCTTTATGTGGTATTGTTTTGCTGGGTGTTTTCAAATTATCGGTGTTTTATAGCAATCTCCCATACTAAGATTTTCTTTCATATTAATGCTACTAGTAGTAGCAAGCTCGATCAACCATGACAACAACAAAAATGAGAAAATAAAATAAACAGGTTTACTAAGCAAACAAAAATTCTCAGCTTGCAGCACACTTTTTGATACATATGTTACAAACATATCATACCAAAAGTGGAAAGATATAGGAGGATAGTGAGGCAAAAATACAAAGCAGAAATAGGAGAGAGTTCTATTAGTATTTCTCCCTGGAAATTCGTTCTCCCTTTCTTCCTTTTCCATTGTTCTCACGCTACACTTCTCTGAAAACGTTTGCCTGCCAGAGCAGAGTACTAATTGAAAATGCACTGTGTACATTCACAAGCTCTCAGCAAAAGACCCCTGGCCTGTTAGCTGCTGACTGTAGCTATTTATGCGAATTTGACAAGCTAAACTTGGGTGAACAGACTTAATCATTTAAATAGTGAATAGATGTTCATGAACTAATAACAAAAGCATTTTCACTGGTAAAATATTACCACAATCTATAGCCATCACTGTCACAGACTTTCTAAATCCCTGATATAGACAGTGTGGTGGCTCCCAAAAGCTTGATTTGATATTACCAGGTTTCCAGGAATATCTGTATCCGTTTGTAATTACAGGGCTAGATTTGCTGTGCACTTTTTTTGTAATCTAGAACTTAAGATCACATGACACTCCACAACTTAGGTACTAAAATGATACAAAACAGTGGCCGATCCAGGGGAGGGGCCCAGGGAACACCCCCCCTTATCTCAAGGTCTGGATCTGGCACTGCAAGGAGGTTTTGCAATTCATCAATCATTACTTTATGATATATCAATATGCCTTTGAGGTCAGGGTTCTCAATAAGAGCCAGCGGCTGGCGAAATTCACCAGCTGTCGCCACCTATCATATATTATATAGATACTGATGAAATACCAGGATTTTTCCTTTTACTAAAAAATCATATCTTCAGCGCGTGTGGTGAAGATACTATTTTTATCTTTCATGTGTGAGGATATTGGTGTCGCCATGGTTACTAACATGATTTTTCTCTTCTTCATTAGAATTTTGACTTTTTGGAAGAGAAAATATAAGTATTAGTGTCTTTATTTCTCCTTTATAACTTTATATCCGAGTTTCATAACATTTTTGTGACGGGCATTTTGCGATAGGTGACCACTTTAATTGCACTATTTTGCTGTTTCGAAAATGAATAAAAAAAAGTTCTATTTTATGTAGGAATTTCATCAGTATCTATAAAATATACAGAACATTACATGGCCGCTTGGGATTACGAATTTTATCTTCTCGTGCTGAAAGTATCTCTCACGAGTTCGCCTCACTCACTCGTGAGAGATACTTTCAGCACGAGAAGATAAAATTCGTATCCCCACGCAGCCATGTAATATCCTCTATGTCTCTCTGGAAATTACCCCATTTTTTACATGATTTAAAACATATACTGAAACAACCAATGGTTCACAGCAATTGGCAAGAAGAATTAAAAAAGCTGAAATTTAATGATATCTGTGTTCTGTCCAAAAACTCTAGTTTTTGCTCCAGAATGCTGGAAATGCATGTCTCAGAGGCATAGATTTCAGACCTTTTCTTGGGGGGCATGCTGCCAGACCCCCCCTCCCCCAAAACTTGTGAGTTTTTTTGCATCTCTGCCTAACTCCAAAGCTTTTACTGCCCTACTTAGAACTTATTGAAAACCCTGCTTTGTGTTATAGAAAAGAGTCACCAAGAGCTGTTGTGAAGGGGTGGAATCAATTTATCACCGATATCAAAGTATTTTAATACGAAAATATATCTTTGCAAAAGATCCAAAATAAATGCACCAGTATAATCTAAAGACACAACAAGAGAAAAGAAAACTGAAGAACTCAGAACTCAAATAAATTAGTGAAGATTCACAGGCACTTTTAATTACAATTTTTTTTGCAGGTTGGATGGTAAATTCCCAGCAGCCGCGTACACTTGAGCTGCAAAATGCCCCACCACCGGGACAAAAAAAGGGAAGGCCACAATTAATCAACACTACAGCACATTTCATTGATCAAAAAGACGAGTGATGCATTTTAATGTAAGATTTTTTGTTCCAGTTAACATCTGCCTTTGTATGTAATAGCAAAATTCTAATTAAGACTTCATGCGTGACGACACCACTTCATGATTAATTCTATTATTGTCGTTTATATCTTCTTTTGAATAGTTCATTGGTAGTGTTCCAAATAGTTGAGTTATTGTATGAAAAAGAAGAGGAAGTGCCTAAAAGAATAGATAAATCATAGCAGAATTAGAAATATCATCACGTGCTAAATTTTATTTAAATCTTGGATCAACAGAAATGTTGTTTAGTAACCAAAAAAAATGTCAATTCAGGTTGAATTGTTCAGCTCCCAACTTAATTCCGGCTTATTAACCAAAGAAGAAATGCAGACATAAAATTGAGGAGACAATACCTCAAAAACCCTCTAAACACTTTTCCTGTCCCTGACAGATAAGCCAATCTTTGAATTGGCTGGTGTTTCCAGTAAAATCCTCCATGTTTAGTAAATATGTTTGGATAGGAATGCATGGGTGTGCCAAAAGCTCAGGGGTGGCTCCGGGGTTGGCAAATGCCTGACCCCATGCAGCACAAAATTTGCTAACACCCCACCCCCAGGAATGACAAGGTAGCAAATGCCCCGTAGTTGTCCAGGGAGTGTATGGGCAGACCTGGAATAAGTCACTTGCACTTATAAGAGGTCACGTGACCAATGAGTTGGATTAATCTTGCTGAAGCCAAAAATTATGGAGCACATAAAAATTATCTTACACCCGAAATTTGACAGGAAACACATTTAAGGGAGACATTTTTTGGCACTTTGATTTTTCAACAGAGTAGTGTGATTTGTATTGGCCGCTATATTAGATGGCATACTCTTGTCCTCCAACATGGCGGCCAAAAAAAACTACTTTTTGCTTGTATCTTAATTAATAAATGTTAAGATAGTTATGCTCGGATGTGCTGCAAACGATACCCCATCGTCTTTTCAACAATTTTCTTGAAGTTTAAGTGCAAAATTTCTGTTCAGAAAGAGGTACTTCATAGTTTTCCAGGAGTTTCATTAAGCATCGGAGATTGAAGAATTCTCTGTCTACTACGCATAATTCTCCAGCTAAATTTCGATGAAGTATGGCTATTTTTTTATTCACACGAATCAGACGTGGATATATGCTATGTAAAAAGAAATTATTCCCAGAAATGCATAATGTTAGCGCTTAACCACTTGCTTTGCATTCCCAAATAAATAACAAATACATAAAAGACTTTATTTATTATGCTACTAGCAGTTTTTAGCCCAACAAAACTAACAGGGGACGTGTAAAATATTAGACAGTCTGCTGAAGTGTGGAGAGTTGACTGTATGCTCAACGCGTTTTTATTTGCACACGAAAAATAATTAAATGAATAAATACCAATTATGAAACAAAACATGAAACAAAATAAAGTACATGATGAACAAATCATAGTCGCAAAGTTACGACAAGCCTTAGTTTCAGCGATAAGAATCAACTACCTTTACGAATAAAAAGGACGATTTGTTTGTGAACTGCTATGGAAATAAATTTGGCGATGCTTACCGTGTATAAATGACAGAGTATCAAATTGCTATGAAACAAATGCAAATTTTGAGATTTTTCTATTTTAACGATGACTTATAAAACGTGTAGAGGCCGGTATGCAGTGTTTTTTGTTTTGTAGCTACAACAAATAAAATTTGCTATTAGACCAAAATTTCCAGGCTTGTTATCAAGCTCTTTCTGGGAATTAGTTCTTCGCTCTTTCAAAATATTCTCCTGTTACTTTACACTACTCTCCTGCTACTGCAATTCTTAATGAAAACC